CTTCTTGCAAAAAATAGACATACATAATATTTTTAGAAAATAACAGTACTTTAAGCATGCAATTTCCACATATTTAACACAATAATTCATTCTAGCTCTGTTGCAATACTGGCTAAGGTACTCCTCCGTTATTATTACGGGATTCAGAAATGTACAATGAAACCTCGAGATACGAGGAAAGTATGAGCAAAATACGAGATTAATTTGAGTAACGAGCAATGAGCCAGGCTGTTGGTATGGATGGCGTCATTTCCCTATCCGGCTCAACTCGGGGATTTCCCTCGTCAGATCGCTCAGTGTTCTTTTATGTACGTGTTTGTGTACTTGCAAGTTAATTGTTTTGACATTTAACGTGAAAATAATTATTTCAAGATGCTCACAAGAAGATTGTTGCCTCAGATAGTGCTGCAAAGAAAAATAAGGAGGCCATGGCCGTTGATATCAAGAAAGAAATCGTAGATAAACATAAGCATGGTGACGGAATTGGCGAAGACTTGCGGCCTTTCAACATCGAAAATCTATACTATTCTGAAGAAGCAGGAAGAAATTAAGAAACCTGATGTAGCCAAAGGAATTATCGTAGCTTCCAAGCACCATAAAAGTACTCCTAGATGTTGAGAAGCTGTGTTGTTGTGTGGATTAATGAGATTGAGTTAAAATGTTGGTAACAAAGTTAAACTATTGTTATATTATTTACCAGTGTTATTTATTAGGAAAAATTGACTTGATATTAAAATGTTGATATTTTTTGGGGTGTGGAACGGGTTAACTGAATTTCCATTATTTTCAATGGGGAAGCTTGTTTCTAGATACTAGAAATTCGCTATACCAGTTGAATGCTGGAACGAATTAAACTCGTATCTCGGGGTTCCACTGTAGATATGTAAGCATGTGTATATGCATGTATGCGCATATATGTGTATAAGTATACACATACATACATAAAGAATATACACATGCACACACGAGCACCTACATTTAAAAATGCATGCATATAAACACACATTTCTGAATCTCCTGATAACAGAAGAATACCTACATGAATCATAGGATTTACATTATTCAGTTTCATTAGAATTCTTAAATGCAGAGGATTTACATTAATCAGTTTTATTAGAATTCTTAAATGCAGAGGATTTACATTAATCAGTTTTATTAGAATTCTTAAATGAAATCTTCAGTATCCAAAAATTCAGTTTCATTTCCAGCTGAAACTGTATCAGGACAATCTCATTTATATTATTTCCCTCTAACAACTGAACATTTTGAAAACCTTTTCTATTCCATGGAAAACTAATGCTACATTAAACATACATTTTCTAAATCTGAAAATTTTAAGTTAGCTTAGAAACTGTAATCATTCTTAAAAAAGTTTAGAAACTGTAATCATTCTTAAAAAAGTTTGATTTATGCAGATGTTAGATCAATAAAATTACTTTCCTGTGAAAAAGTAATATGGCATTGAACAACACGATTTTACACATCAAGATATACTGAGTGAAAATTCCTGAAATGTTTTAATTTCTTTCTTTGTATCTCTGCAAGAATTGTATAAATAAGACTACCTCCCTTTTTTATATTTAAAAAAAAAAAAAAAAAAAAAAAAAAAAAAAAAATGTTTAGTAAATACTATGAAGAAAATTGGCTACATTATTTACAGTTCATAATTAATAGAAAATAAATCATTTCTTATCTTATCAGAATTTATTTTTATCACATTCATAAACAGTACTAATTTAAACAAACATACCATTATGATTTCAATAACTATAGAAATAAAAAATCCAAATCTGCATGTCTTTGATGGTCTAGTAGATTGGACGTCTCGTTTACTACAATTCAGCAGGGTGCTGACTCCCCAGACTGTAATATATATATATAATTAATTTACAAGGGAAAAAGCAACAAAAATATAAACAATTTCTTGGTTTTATATAAGCATTTCTGCACATTTACAATTTAAATTTTTTTAACTATCTAGTTATATCAAAATACATGATTTTGTAAAATATAATTCAAATAATTTAAGGTATTTGAGATCAAATACTAATTTTTCAATAAATTTTATCATGCAAGTCTAATAATCAACATAACTATCAAGTTTTGACTTTGAAAATTATGTTTAGAAAAACTTGAAGCTGCAGTAAATAGTAATAAATTTATTCAAAACTGAAAGTAAAGCATTCTTACTTTATTTTCTTTCTTTAACTATGGCAGATCTTTTAAAACAACAAAATCAAACAAACAAAAAAGAAATGCATTCATGAAAGGACTTAGGACTTACTTATTATTCATGAAAGGATATATTTCAGTAATTACTAGTGTATAAAAAATTCAGTATATATATAAAAAAAATGAACACAGATTTGGAACAAAAGTACCTGTGTTCTATGGCATAAAGTTTCCTTTTTTAATAGCACAATATTTTTGAGTTAAAGATTATATATTAAAGCAAATTTATAAAACTAAATTCAAAAATAAGAAATTAAATTATTTTAGGGAAAACACTAAGCAAATAAAAAATTTTGAATTTCATAAATAAATGAAAGTTACATGCTTTATTTTTTGGCATAAGGTAGATAAACATTTCCATAACAGATTTCTGAACAATTAGTCATTTTAATATTGCCTTCTTTTTCCATTAAAAGCTATTTCCTGCTTAATTACAGTATGCTTTAAGATAAATATTAAAACGCTTGAGTAAAATAATATAACTATAAAAAGGTGAGACACATACAAAAAGGAGTGACACAAACAGTAAGAAACAGACTAGTGCAAAATTTAACAGTACCAAATCCTGAAAATGAATCATTAGGCACGTACACAAAAGAACAACACATAGAAAATCACATTTCCTACACAGACGCTATTTATAAAATTTTATAGAGGTGAAAAAAGTACGAGTATTAAACACTAAAAATATAAAATATTCACTTATTTTCTTCAAATAATTAGTAACTTCCATGGATTCAGTCACAAACGCCAATCCACGAATAAACAGTATTCTTTGCGACTTTACCATTCTTTTCGACCGCCATTGCTGAGTGCTGACTTCACAAATATCCCGCCACAACCGGAAGTAGAAAGTGTCTGCTTTGCCATTGGTCAGTGAACAAGAATTGCAACGCTTTTTTTTTCTTTATAATTAAACATATTAAGAAAGCCTCTAAATTAGCATATGAAATAAACTTACTTTTGCATTATATAAATTTATATTCACAGCATCTCTGTATTAAGGTAATAATTAAATTTTTCTATGAAAAATAGAAATGTCTGTATATGCGCATGCTCAGTGTATAATCGTAAATCCGGTTAATTTTTATAGCGTAAAATTAACTATGCAAATTTTGAGTTCATTTAACTGGACCCTTGTACTTATTCTGTAGATCTCCATATTAAGAATGTCTTTAACTCTTTTAGGAAAAATATAAAATATAATGTAATTACTTATTTACATTATTTATTAATTTTTTCCTCATATAAAAATTATTAAAATCGCTATATCATTTTTTCCGTACATTAAACAAAATTTAAAAAAATTAGTCTCATATGATTTTTATAACAAAGATTAAAGGAACTGAAATATATGTAAAATATCAGGATTCAGCATGCAATTTCGTAGTTATTATTATTATTATTAAATAAAAATATTAGTATATCTTTGATTATAATTAATGATCCTTTGATCTACATTAAACTATTGTTCAAGAAGTTAAACGTTTTCGAGCATCTTCTGCTGTATTTATTATTCTATTCCTCGACATGAAAGATTTGCTAGTCTTATTCCAATTCAATTGCCCACATTTGCTAAATAAAATAAGGAGAGTATTGTACCAAACTCAGTAAGTACACAAATTTAATATACAGCTTATTCCAGTTAAATGGGTAATAGGATTTTCATAAAAGAAATTAAATTGTGTAAATTAAATATAAGTGTTGATATGGATAATTAATCTAAGGGTTGATATGAATAAAAATAACAAATTTGATATAAGAAAATAAATAAGTTATTTTGAAGATGTTTGAATTAAGAAAATATAATTTTTTGCAAAAATGCACGTAAAGATTTAGCTCACATGTTAAAATTTATAGAAAAATTTTAGCCTCATATATGAATGCCCCTTTTTTCATGTTCGTGGACAAGGAAAACAAAGTGAAATGCCAGAAATACACTAAATATTTTGAATTAATAAACTTCATTTTCATTCTTTTTAGACTTCGTATAATATCCGTAAAAGTGACGAATGAAATATACCATAAAGGCAGTAGTTTCTTTCAGAACATTCGGATTCGTATAATATCCGTAAAAGTGACGAATAAAATATACCATCATGGCGGTAGTTTTATCAGTACATTCGGATTCGTATAATTTTCGTAAAAATAACGTGTGGAAAATAACGATCAAGAGTTAACAGTAACTTCAGCCTTTTTCATTCGTATAAATTTCGTAAAAGTAACGTGCAAAAAATACCATACCCTTATTTCACCAAATTATACGTATATTTTTGGAGACGTGCTGCCTGGGAAGCTGCTTTTAAGAGCAGAGGGGCACTGGCCCAAATTATCTCAAAATGTATATTTATGTATGTCTAAATGAAAAAAAAATGTCTCTTTGGCCATTATATAAAATCTGAAAGCTTCCAGATTTTTTAAATTCAATAAATTATTTTTTATTATTGTAAATTCTGCAACTAAAAACTGTCTGAGTTATCTCGGTTGGGTATAGCTGGAAAAAAAATTCTTGGAAAGTATTTACTCTGGTACCCAGAAATAATTTAGTTTGGTTGTATCTGAGTTAACTCGGGTGATTGCAATAAAATATTGTTTAAGTTGGGGGGGAGGGGAATATTTTAAAACAAAGTTCCTCGACAGATGTAGATGTGTGTAGTCTTGGATTTAATAGCTTCTGTGTTGCTTCTTTTTTATCCATTATTAAGCTTAGTTATAAAATAACATTTTTGTAACAGTTATATACTGTAACTTTTTCCCCTTTTTATTAGATAAGAAATATGAAACTGTCATTCTGCCACTTTTCGGAGTGAATGTTCCTTTTCATATTTCTACTATAAAGGTATGTATAAATGAAATATTAATTTTTTGTATTATGTGCTGATTGCTTTTTAAAGAATTTGGTTTAACAATGTCTAAAAATTATGTTCTAAAAGCATTATATTGTTTAGTTATTCAATAAATAATTATTTTTTTGGTACTTGTATTATCGCAGTGACATGAAAATTGGGAAAGGTCCCCAACCCAAGTTGCACTAGTCGTTCTTGCAGAATTCTGAAGTAATTACACTATTTAATTTAAGTGTCAGATATAAATTACAAATTTAGTACATAAAAAGAAACTTGTATAAATATTCATTCGAACTTTTAGATTAACTCACAAAGCCATTCATTAATAACTGCGCCAGTTATTTTGGCATCCAAAATCTGCTAAAGGCATTTAAAAAAGTATCTTTCTATTTTACTTGAAGTTCTGTCTTGAGTGCAATTCGTACAGATTTAATGAAGGTAATTATTCCAGTTTGTTGTTGTTTTGCCAATTGTATTCATCTGCTGTTTTCTAACATATGTTAATACGCTCAACCAACTGTGTGACCAAATATGATTCTGCAATCCTCAGACATATTCCTTTTTGAATGGATAATTTCTTGGCACATTTTTACTTCCTTGTACGAAGTAAAAAGGAAGTATTGTAATCACGAAAAATTTTGGATATCGTATGTCAACAAAAATATTCGGTTTGACCGCTATCGAATTCAGTTTAATGTTTTTTGCGTGGCATCTGTACATAAGGACAGAATAAAGGACTCTTTTTCCTCGACAAAATTATAAAACTAAGTTAAAATTGATTCTGAAGAGAATTTTTCGTGGCATCTATGCGTACATGCGTATGTATGTATCTCACATAACTCAAAGACGAGTAGCCTCAGAACGTTGAAATTTTGTATATAGGACTGCTATAACATGTAGATGTGCACCTCCTATTTTGGTTGCAATCGGCCACACTAGAAGTGCATGAATATATATATATTCACTCTGTTACTCGGCTCATTGATCGCAGTTTCTTTATTCTTATATGTTTGCAACTTGTGCGTTTTTTGCTATAAAAATGATTGAATTATGTTGTTCTTATCTTCCGGTTAAGGTTTTTACATCTTTAGTAAATCTGCAAGCAATATTTGTATAATTATCAACAATTTAAAAGTTGTTTGAGTGCGGCCAAGGCTAATTATTTTTGCGAAAGCGGCCATGTTTATTTACATTTGAAACTCTGCAGAATAACAGATTTGTTGCTAATCTAGAGAAACTAAGCTTCGACACAACAAAAATAACGCCTTCATTTATTATTGCGAATTAAATCGTGCTTAATCCTTTCTGGAATGTTTTCGAGGAAGTAAGTGTTAAGGATTTACCTCGTAATTTTTTAATATAGATATTTTGAGTTTTTATGTATTTTTGTCTTGTCGCAAAATGAGAACTGGATTAATTGAATGAGAAATACTGAATCGTCTGTGAAAAACTATTTCTTTTTTGTTTTGTTTGCTTAATTTCTTTTATACATCATTCTAGATTTATTATAGTATTTGCATAGAACATGTGGCAACGATTAGATAATTCTTCAAATGATATAAATTTTGAGCATTCTGAGTTATAATATGAACGAAATATAACATTGTTAAGTGAACCTAGTGCCAGAATGTCGCTATGGTTAAAAAAAAAAAAAAAAAAAAAAAAAAACATGAATTTTTTGTTATTAAAATTTTTATGTATATATAGTATTTATTCTATTGGGGCTTATGCACTGTCGATGATGTAAATTTAATTCAGTCCAATAAGTGTAAATGAAATGTAAGAAAAAATGCATATAATTTAATATTCCGTACAAGGAAGTCATGTGTTGTACACATCAGAATTTTTTCATGTTGCATTGCCATTTTATTTGTTTAAAGTATGATATCATTCCTATTAGTGCACACTCCTGTTTAATGTTAGGATCCTATAACTTTGAAGCATAACATAAGGCAGGTCCCAAACTTAAATCTCCTTTCTGCCTCTTCTATTTTCCACAATGCAAGAAAAAGCAGTAACTGTTAATTTATATCCTTGTTCATCAAAACAAAAAATAGTTTATTGGGAATCATTTGGGATTACTTTCGACAAGAGCACAGAACTTGTCAGTGTGTTGTGCTGTCACGCTTATCCATAATTTGTGCTGAATTGTACTGCTTGGTGACAGTTTCATGGCCAATGGGATAATACATAAGTACCCTTTTTCTTTATCAGTATTTTGCTTGGAAAAGTGTGAAATCTGAATTGCTGAAATATTTTAAAGCTTGGAATATTTTAATAATTTATTTCATTAAAACTAGATAGATTTGATTTTTATTTGCTGAAGAATATATTATTTGTGTTTTTAATTTGTAGAATATCAGTCAGTCCATTGAAGGTGATTTTACCTATCTTCGTATAAACTTCTTTCACCCAGGATCTGCTCTGGGACGCAATGAAGGCAATTTATTCCCTAATCCTGAGGCAACATTTTTAAAAGAAATGTAAGTTTGCATGCTTCATCATTCCTTATAATGCAAAAAACTACTTAAAATTATGCATGATTTATTTGCAAAATTAGTTATCGTAAAATAATTTTTTAATAGGAAGTGTAAGTAAAAAAAAAACCTTGATAATTTTTCATGCATTTAACATTTTAAAAATGTATTTTGTGAATTATCTAGGTACAGGGCTTCTTACACATTTTTCAGTCACCCCTTTTTATCACAGATTTTTCTTTCTTTCTTTTTTTTTTTTTTTTTGCGACCTCAAGAACCCCCATAATATTTATGAAAAATTTGTGGGACCTCATAACTATTGCAGTTTTAGGTCATTATCTTTAATTTCTAATTTTAAGACTTGAACAATGCGAAAATTTTAAATAAGTAACAGACGAAATGACAGTGTCGTATGCAAAGCAACGAAATGAACGATTATATTATGAAAAGAATGCGTCGCAATGTTTCTTTTTTTTTTTTCTTTTTCTGTACTATTTTATCTTTATCTACTTTCAGATACATTGTGTAAAAATATTTGGTAACTGTAAAATTATAAGTTATTGAAATCAAAACTGCTAAAATTTTTGCCAACCCACAGTTTAAGAAACTGATATAGTATAATAATAGAATTATTGTGTCGTGCTGTGTTATTTAAACTACTTTATTTTTTAACATACAATAACATGCCGAAAAATTTTTAATTTAGAAGTCAAACAACAAAAATCATCGTTATGTTTTTCAAATTTTCACCGCACTAGTTTCAATGGTTTTACCAAACCATTATCCTGAGCTGCAAAAGTGCAAATGAACAAGATAAGACATAGTGCTAAGATAAGAAAAACTGGACAGAAGCTAAGCTACTGGCACCATCTCTTAATGAAACGAGAATTAAAACAATTTCCTTAAAGGCTGCAGGCAAAGATAGATTGGAATTAGGGTCATTAGCTAGAACAGAAAGATTTTTTTTCAATGTGAAATGCCTCTAAAAAATCTAACTTTTACCAATGGAAGATGTTTTTGAATAATTTTGGCTACAGAAAAATTGAAGGTGTGATTTTCGGATCAACAATGCTGGACATCGGAAGACTTCTGTGTTTCCTTTTTACTAACATATTCCTCATATTCCTTAACATTAAATTTTAAGGCTCTTTTAGTTTGGCCAGTCCAAGTTAAACCACACTGGCAAAAATCCTGTTAATACCCCAGGAATTCATATCCGGAATGAGGTCCATGAGTATGGAACTCTGAATTTTATTCATGGGTGAATAAACGACCCGAAAGTTAAATTTCTGTAAAATATGTGCAATTTTATTGCTAATTGATGGAAAGATGGAAATGATAACAGAATTCTTATAATCTCCTAAAACAAGAGTGTGCCATTTGTTGTGTTGAGATGAGAATTTTTTAACTGCTTGATTAATAATTTTGGGTGAAAAGCTCCTATCAGTAGCTTCTGCTTTAGAATAATTTAGTTCTTCATCAAGAGACAGTTTGGAAGAGCAAACTTGAAGTGCATGGAAAACATAGGAATAAAATGAAACTAACTTTTGTTTAGTCGGATGACATGATTTGAAGTGTGATGGAAGGAAGGTAAACCGATGACGGTTTATGGTAAGCCGTAGTACTGAAGTTGAATGTGTTTCGTGTGATCAGAATGTCGAGGAACGGAAGAGAATTGCATGTCTGAAGTTCAAAAGTGAACTGTATAGCAAGATCAGTGTAATTCATTGTTGAAAGAACTTTATTTAAATCATTTTTATTACCTTCGAACAGGGCAAAAGTATCATCTACGTAGCGAAACCGTACCGGGAAGTTTAAAGTTTCAAATAATTTTGTTTTATATTAATGCCTTTAGATATGAGCCAGGATGGGACTGAGCTGGCCTTCCATGGTCAATACCTTAGTTTACTTGTAATACATATTTTGGAAAACAAAATGTGTTTCTTTCAAACTGAGTGGGGGAAATTAGCTCATCAATTTCAATGCAAGGGAAATGAAACTCACGAAGTCTGGTTTCTAGACATCTTAATGCACCCTCCACTGGAACATTGGAGAATAATGATTTTACATCAAAAGAAACCATGAGTACATTTCTAGGAGAAATGCTTTTGACTTTTTTACAAACTCTGTTGATTTGTTTTTTTTGGTGTAAATGTTATTGTCTAATAGAGTTGAAAATATAGAAACTAAATATTTAGCTAGCGAATATGAGGCAGTCATTTTTTCTGTTCTAGTTAACGACACTAATATCAGTCCATCTTTGCCTTCAGCCTTAAAAGGAAATTGTTTTAGTTCTCGTTTCATCAACATATGGCACCAGTAGCCTAAGTCCTGTCTAGTCTTTCTTATCTAATCACTATATCTGATCTCCTTCATTTGCGCTTTTGCAGCTGAGAATAATAGTTCGGTAAAACCATCGAAACTATTCCTGTGAAAATTTGAAAACATAATGCTGATTTTTGTTGTTTGACTTCTAAATTAATACTTTATTTATGTTTAAACTAAAGCAAAAAGAGGACACTTATTTTTAAAATGTAACAGTCAAATAAAAAATTAAGGAACTTGCCGTCTCTTCTTGGAATTCATTCCATTTTGTTTTCCCTTTCAAATATCAAATTCATTTTCCAAATCTTTTTTAATGATTCATTGTAACACTAATCATCATATCAGAAGAATGAATTTATGATATTTATTGAAAGGATTTTATTTTAAGATATAAAAGTTCAGTAATTTGAAAAGTATAGACAATGGCAGAGAAAGCTGGGATTTTCTTGCTTTGGTTTTATTATTATTTATAAGTTACCTATTGAGAGAGGCTTGTGTTATTCAGAATCGGCAATGCAAGCAATTGGTCTCTGTAATATATAATGAGGTTTTCTTGCCCCCTTAGGACATAATGACAGTGTAGAACGTATACTTCTTTAAGAAAATAAACATTTGCCCCTCTTTTTGCCACAGTTTAATTATTCCAGTTAATTAATGACATGTACAGAATTTAAAAATAGAGTAAATGTCAACATGAAAATGTAATTTTTAAATATAAATGTGTGATAACTATTGTAGATTTATGCATATGATTAAAAAAGAGTGAGTGTTCAGTTAGATGTTTTAAATGATTCAGAAGTAAGACTATAATTTATTGGCACTGTCAAATATATGAAGGAAATTTTAACTTATTTTTGCTGTGCATAATTCCAATATGTAATAGTTCAATTTAAAATTGAAGAAAATTTGTATTACTTGCATTAATTAATACATAATTTATTTTGTTCACAAATAAATTATATGGAAACTTCAAAGCATTAAAAAACTTGTGAGAATCGTAAAGTTGTATTTTAATCGTCTTATGCATAGAATTTCAGAAAATGCAAAGTTGCAATTGCACTATTAATAATTGACCTTCTAAAAGACTGATTAGTTTTTAAAGCATAAATAATGTATGTTACCAACTCTGAAGAATCAAAATTGAAGTAATGAAAAAAGTTGCTAATTTTGGTACTTATGGTACGAGGCGTATTCGGAAACTAAGTACGGTTTTGGGGGAAAAATAGTAAAACAATTTTTTCGAATCCAATTTTATTTTTACATGAAAATACATGTCTTAAACTATTTTTCAACATAGTTTCCGCCAATGATCAAACACTTGTCATAGCGGGTGACCAGTTTTTGTATACCATTGTCAGAGAAACTTCCCACCAGTTTCGATAACCATGACTCCACAGCATTTTTCGTGTCATCGTCAGATCCAAAGCGCTTGCTACCAAACTCACGCTTTATGTGCAGGAACAAGTGATAGTCGGACGGCGCCAAGTCCGGGCTGTACGGCGGGTGATCGAACTGCTGCCAATGAAACTTTCGAATTAACGATTGAGTGACACCAGCAGTATGGGGCCAAGCATTGTCATAGAGCAACACAATTCTTTTACTGAGCATTCCTCTTTGTTTGTTTTGAATGGCACGCCTTAGTTTTGTTAAAGTCTCACAATATCGTGCCGCATTAATGGTTTCACCTCTGGGAAGAAATTCAGTAAGCAAAACGCCTTTCCTATCCCAGAACACAGTGCACATGATTTTTTGTGATGACATTGTCACTTTGAACTTTTGTTTTTTCGGAGAATGAGTGTGTCTCCACTCCATCGATTGTTGTTTCGATTCTGGGGTGAAATGACACACCCAAGTTTCATCACCTGTCACAATTTGGTTTAAAATGTTTTCTCCCTCATCACTGTACCGCGTGAGAAATGTCAGGGCACTACCAAGTCGCTTTGTTTTGTGAACATCAGTGAGCATTTTTGGAACCCATCGGGAACACAGTTTGTCATAATTCAAGCGGTCAGACACAATTTCGAACAAAACAGTACGTGAAATTTGTGGAAATGCCTCTGAAAGAGTTGACATTGTGAAGCGTCTGTTCTCATGAATTGCTTCATCAACTTTCGTTACCAAATCATCAGTGACAACAGAAGGCCAACCACTCTGAGCCTCGGCGTGGACATTTGTTCGACCTGCATTAAGCATTCTCACCATTCCATCACTTATCGCGTATTCACCGTAAACTTCTGTCACTTGACGATAAATTTCAGCCGGTTTAACATTCTTCGCGTTCAAAATTTTAATCGTGGCACGAATCTCACAGTCAGCGGGAGAACTAATTGTCTTAAACATTTTTAATGTGCCCAGCAAACTGAAAACACAACATAGAGCAACAAAATGGCAACAATTGAAAGTCAGTGAACAAGAAAGACTAGTGCGCAAGCGCGGGACGCCTACCACAGCGCTGCGACGGCGCTAGAATGAAACGGTACTTAGTTTCTGAATACGCTACGTATTTTCATGGAACTGTGAGAGTTTGAGATAGCGTCAAAAATTGCCCTAGTGATTCCTGTGAAATTTTGAAGAAAAAAATTGCTCTTTGTTAAAAGGCATGGTATATTAAAACTTAGATAATTATAAACTATTATAGATTATTAAACTTAAATCATTATTAATTTGAGATTAGGTACTAATTCAGAAGTCAAACAACAAAAATCAGTGTTATATTTTCAAAATTTTCACAGGACTAGTTTCGATGGTTTTACCGAAACAACATCCTCAGCTGCAAAACCGCAAATGAACAAGATAGGAAAAAATGATTAGATAAGATAAGAAAGCTTGGACAGGAATAAGCAAGTGGCGCCATCTGTTGATGAAACCAGAACTAAAACATAATTTCTTTAAAGGCCGAAGCCAAAGATGGATTGGAATTAGGATCGATAACTAGAACAGAAAGATTTTTTTTTAAATGTGAAATGCCTCTAGAAAATCCAATTTTCCAATGGAAGATGTTTTTTGAATAATTTTGGCAGCAGAAAAATTGAAAGTGTAATTTTCAGACCAGCAATGTTGAGCAACAGAAGACTTCTGTGTTTCTTTTTTCTAACATATACTTCATGTTCCTTGACACGAAATTTTAAGGCTCTCTTAGTTTTGCCAATGTAAATTAAACCACACTGGCAAGGAATCCTATAAATACCCCAGGAATTCATATCTGGAATGGGGTCCTTGAGTATGGAACTCGGAATTTTATTGATTGGAGAATACACAACCCGAAGTAAATTTCTGCAAAATATGTGCAACTTTATAGCTAATTGATGGAAGGAAGGGAATGACAACAGAATTTTTATAATCTCCTAAACAAGAGTGTTTCTTTTAGTATGTTGAGATGAGAATTTTTTGACTGCTTGATTAATAATGTTGGGTGAAAAGCCCCTGTCAGTAGCTATTGCTTTTAAATACCATATTTGACGGCATATAAGATGCACTTTTTCCTAAATTTGGTCTCAAAAAAGTTACCTGCGTCTTATACGTGAAGGACACAGTCTTATAGGTGAAGGTAATTGCATTCAATAATTGTTTATTTGGCTTTTACGAAACGTGAGAACTAAAAGAAACCACGCTATTGAAACTTTTTTTCCTTGTATGTCGCCGTCTAAATAAGGGAGTCTCTTATATGCTGTCAAATATGGTAATTTAGTTCTTCATCAAGGGCTAGTTTGGAGGAGAGCAAACTTGAAGAGCATGGAAAACATAGGAATAAAATGAAGCTAACTTTTGTTTAGTCGGATGACATGATTTAAAGTGTGGTGGAGGGCAAACCAGTGAAGGTTTACGGTAAACCGTAGTACTGAAGTTGGATGTGTTACGTGTGACCAGAATGTTGAGAAATGGAAGAGAATTGAAAGTCTCAAGTTCAAAAGTGAACTGGATAGCAGGATCAATAGAATTCATTGTTGAAAGAACTTTATTTAAATCATATTTATTACCTTCAAACAGGGTAAAAGTATCGTCTACGTAGCGGAACCATGCCGGGAAGTTTGAAGTTTCAAACAATTTTCATTCATAATAATGCCTGTAGATATCAGCCAGGATAGGACTGAGGGTGCTTCCCATGGCTAATCCCTCAGTTTGCTTGTAATATTTATTTTGGGAAACAAAATGTGTTTGTTCAAACAGAGAGAAATTAGCTCATCAATTTCGATGCAAGAGAAATGAAATTCGCAAAGTCTGGTTTCTAGACATCTTAATGCACCCTCCACTGGAACATTGGTGAGTAATGATTTTACATCAAAAGAAACTATGGGTAAATTTATAGGAGAAATGTTTTTAACCTTTTTTACAAACTCTATTGAATTTTTATGGTGTAACTGTTATTGTCTAATAGAGTTGAAAATCTAGAAACTAAATATTTAGCTAATGGATACGAGGCAGTACCTAAATTTGATACAATAGGGCGAAAAGGAATATCACTTTTATGAATTTGAGGAAGAGCATATAATCTGGCACAATTCGCAACAGATGGGATAAGCCAATATTTTAAGTTGCTTGAAATGATTTGTGAAGATTTGATCACAGTTTTTATTTTTGACAAGTCCGAAGGTGAAGGATCTTTAGGGATTGGATTATATATATGGTCCTTCGTTTAAGAGTTTAGTGACACCATTCATGTAAGTGTTCTTATCCATGACGACTATCTGGCCACCTTTGTCGGCTTTTAAAATGATAATATCCGGGTTAGAATGAATTTTACGCATTGCAGCTCTTTCTCTCACAGTTAGATATGGTTTCAAAGGTTTATCATTGAATTTCACATTAAGAGCGATAAGATGCCTAATCATTTCTTTCTGTGAATCTGAAACTTTACTGAACTTGAAAGCTTTTTCGGTAGGAGCCAAAATCTTTGGAATCGAGGGTTTACAAGTTTCTGAGAAGTTAAAATTATATTTTAGAATTCTCTCTTGTTCTTCTGAAAGACTAACATTAGAAATATTAACTATTGGCTTTATGTTTACAATGGGAAGGTTTTTTCGAGCTAATTGAACTGGAAGACTGTAAAAGAATTTTTTCGAATTTACTGCAAGGGTGTTTTTATGACGGTTAACTGCATTCTCCGTTCTACCAAGACTTTTGTTCAAGGGCAGTGAATTTTGGATATGAATTAGAGAGTTCCAGATGAAGCTTATCGAGTTCATGTTCAATTTTGGACAATTGTTGGTGTGTATCCCTTATGATGGACCGAAGTAAGGCAAGCTTGCAATTTAACAGAATTCTTGAAACGCGACTGGAAGGTTTTTGATTAGATTTGATTTGAATAAAATTGGGGATCAATTTTTTGCATTTAAGTAAAAAGTCAAGATGATTCAGGAATTTTTGCCGTTTCAGGCGGAATTTAGTGAAACGATTAATAGATGAAGGCATGATAAAATATGCAGAAAATCAAACTAAATTAACTAAGCAATAATAAATAATAAAGCACACACAAAACAGCAGAAAATCCCTCACTGAAACGAATAGAAATCAAAACATTTGTAACCAAAATGCATGAAATCAGACAAGCAAAGCACAATATCCAAATATACGAAACATAAACAGAACTTTAAAATAGCAAAAATGTACTTGCCGAAACCCATGCTATCACAAAATGGCAGCCATACTACGTGCAAAAAAGGAAGCAAAAAGTAAGCCGTTTTTGGCTCCGAAACACATACAAATGCAACACGACGAAAACCACATGGAAAAAAGAAAACAAAAAATAAGCCTGTTTGGGGCTTCTATAATTAAGACGCAATAACACGCCGAATAAATACTAATTCAGAAGTCAAACAACAAAAACCAGCGTTATATTTTCAAAATTTTCGCAGGACTAGTTTCGATGGTACCGCACCACCATCCTCAGCTGCAAAACCGCAAATGAACAAGGTAGGAAATAATGATTAGATAAGAAAGACTGGATAGGAATAAGCAAGTGGTGCCATCTGTTGGCGAAACCAGAACTGAAACATAATTTCTTTAAAGGCCGAAGGCAAAGTTGGATTGGAGTTAATATCGTTAACTAGAACAGAAAGATTTTTTTGAATTTGAAATGCCTCTAGAAAATCCAATTCTCCAATGGAAAAGGTTTTTGAATAATTTTGGCAGCAGAAAAATTCTGTATGAATATTTATTCGGTGTGTTATTGTGTCTTAATGTGAGATTAGATGACAAATTCTCATTGTACTTTCAGTCGTTCCAGGGGTCAAAAATCTCTTAAGAGGATATAAAGTAATAACAAAACTGTTTTCTTTATAAGCTCAAACTAATTAATTTCAATAAATACACATGTAAGTAGTGTCATACTTTTCTGCTGTATCTTGTATTGTGCCATTTGACATGCTTCACACTCATTTAATGTTTTGAGTATGCAAATCAGTAGAACCAATCCTGCAAATTAAAAAAGATTTCACTGCTTGCTGTTCTCTAGAAGGTTCAAATTTTAATAATTTGTTCAAGAGAAAAACTGAAGTAGTAATTTATATAAAATTAGTAAAGTAACAACCTTATGTTTAATGTAGATTTTAGTCAAGACTATAAATTTTAATAGTGAATAGGTACAGGTCAATCTTCATCAGGAGCTATGAAATCTGCAGCGAAAGGAAAGCCATAATTGCATTCATTCCCAAAAGAAGTTCCCTTCATTGCAGATTTCTTTGCTCCTGATGAAGGGGACCTATCCCTGTTTGCCCATGAAATTGATAGAGTGTTGGTTGAAATATATGTCAAACATAAACTTGTTGCTTTGCTAAGTTTGTTTTTACTTTGGCTTGTTTCTCTTCTCTCTTGAAATAGTAACTATTGGGTAACATTTAATTTGGGAATGTTTCTAATTTCAGTGGCTGCCAGAAGCAATTCCGAATATTGACCATTTGATATTACAGAAAATTTAATGATATTTTTGATTTTAAACAAAGGATACATTGTAATACATTTAGTGATTTTTTTAAAACTTTTCTTGAGAAAAATAATATGTATTCCAGTGTAAATTTCTGGTATAATTAAAATGCATGTCTCTTTACTGTGGTGTCTCCATATTAAGATTGTTATTACTGACATGCTTCACATGTATAAATTTTTGTATTATCTCTCTATATATATTTATTTGGTAGGATATTGGAGAATTAAAATAATTTTAAATTATATAACGGTTTGTACATAAGTAAAATCTTTTTCAATTTTAGCACATACCGAAGCACAAATTCAAAAGAACCTGGAGAAATATCTGCTCCATGTTCAAATTTAAATACAGCACATAGACTTATTAAAGAAGTTCAGAAAAAATATAAAACAAGAGAGGCTGAAGAAAAAGAGAAAGAAGGTATCGTGAAACAAGACACTTTAGTTCTGAGCTCAAACAAGGGTAATCCAAAGGTGAAGGATCTCTATATTAGACCAAACATTTACTCAAAAAGAATTTCTGGTACTCTTGAAGCGCATACTAACGGTAAGCATAATTTTAAATTATTTAGCCATGTTATAGTTTTATATGTATTTGATTAAAGCTTATTTAGTTTTCTGATAAATCTTGTAATTATATTTTGTTAGGTATGTGTTAAAAAGTTTTCTTTTGTGTTAGTTTCTAGATATTTTATATTGGTATATATTGTGTAAAAATATCTTATAAGTGAAAATGTTTTTGTCAGATGTTAATCTTATTTTATAAGCTAAAAATTTTGTATGGAGATAATAAATTTAATATTTTCTATCTTGGAAAGATTTTGAATCATTAAAAAATAGCATTCTTCATAGATCGAGTTCTTGGCGAAATGTGTTATACTCTTATGTTAAGACGTGCCATTCAATTTATAGAGGGATCATTCTGTCTAAAAGACCTATGTATGAGAAAAATTTTAATGCCTTGCTCTTTTAAATGTGCTATTCATTGATTAGTATAAGTATCTGAAGTGATGGGAAGGCTTGGGCTTAATACAATATGAATATATTTTCAGTTAATTCTTCATCCAGTCTGGTATACCTAAAAAAATTCCCTTTGTGTACACAGAAAAATTGAATGGAAAAGGCTTTATAGGTTGCTGATAACCTTCTTTATTTTTACTAGATGGTAGCACAGAGAAGGTTACTGCTAGGTTGTGAAGCTTTAAATAGTATTCATTTCAAGATAGATTTTTGGACTTGAAAGCAATTAGCATTTGCTTTGAAAGCCTTTGATGTGAAAAATATAATGACTGCATTTTTGAAATTAAGTTGGGGGGAAAAAATGCTGTCTACCCATGCCATTTAAATGTAAGAAAAGAACTCTGAAGAGAATGGATCTGCCATTAAGAAGAAAGATGGTTAGTGTAAATCTTCAAATGGTATAAAATACTGATGCTCTTTTAGGTCATCAATAGAACAAAGTTTAGAACTTTTTTAACATTTGGATTTGCCCTTTCATCTGTATAAAATTCAAATGGGCAGGAACTTCGTACAGGTGATTCGATTAACAGATGCACTTTTGTTGGATTTAAAAAACAGGAACAGAGAAGTTCTGAACAGTCTAATTAAGAGTTACAATTTCATTTATCTGGCCTAGTAAGCAAGCAAAACTGTTCACCATGGGTTATCAAAACCCAGGAATTACACAAAAATCATAGTATATTTCAAAAATAGTATGGTTTGTTCTGATGTCTTCTGCAATAATTGATTCATAACTTTTTCCCATTGAATAACAGCACTTTTTGCATGGTAGAGCCACAAATCACTTAGAAAGATTCATAATGGATATATTATACCATATATGCTTTTCCGTGGCTATCTTATCTCTAGAAATGGTGATGTCGAATGGCAAACTAAAGTTCCAAGCTTGAGAAGGATTTTAGATTTACCGGTAAAATGTTATGCTGGGTTGGCTATAATATGTTTTCACGATTGGCTGGCTAAGTACATGCAACAGAATGACATTTTCAGAATATCATTTTAAAATATTTGTATTATCTGGGCAATGGTGTGTAATGTTATGTTTAAACATGTAACGTAACATATAACTTTAATATGCTGAATGTGTACTTTCATGTGAAAATTGGTACAGTACAAAACCCGAGATCCAGAATCATTGGGAGTTCAGTGATTCCAGATTTTGGAAATGTCCAGATTTTAGATCAGCAGTTTAAATCTAATAAGGCAATATGCAGGAATTGTAAAATTAAAAATATAAAGTATTATGACCTTAAGAAAATCAAAGTTTAATATATACTTGTTTTATTAAACATTTTCTTTAATTCTGTAGATATACATGATTTCTTGTTCAATTACAAAGTTCCACAGTTTAAATACTGTAATTGCTGTATGAAGAATTTCTCTAATTTTATTCCTACCCTACCAATGGTTTGGATATTAGATCATTCTGGATTTTGGATTTTATACTGTATATCATAACATAAAGAATTTTTCTTATTTCACTAACGTTTAAAAATAATAAACTGCATTGGTGGTCTTTCAATAACGGGGTATTCCTTGATAGTGAAAAATACCAATAGATTCAGTTGAATATTCATTATAGACATAAAGGTAATTACTTTATCATTCTGAATTTGCCATATTTACAAATAGCATATTTTCTTCCAAATGTCTAAACTCACTGTTATTTGCATGTCTAAGACAGCTTCGCGTGATTTCTTTAACAACATGGCAAAGTTCATGCTGACTCTTATGCTGATATACATTTTGCAGAAGTGGTGTTATCTTAGTCTGGGTTTTAAAAAGAATTTTGAAGATGACTTCTGGTAGTTATTTTTAATTTTATTTTCTAAAATCCTTACTTATTAACCGTTAAAAGTAACAGCTTTTAGCAGCATGGATGTATTGTTGAAATTTGGTTATTTATAGGTAAACAAATGCAAATGTCTTATATTCTGTTGTAAAAATTGTAAATCTTGGGGAGAAATGTAATATGTTCACTATTGAAATATCTCCCTCTTCCTAAAAATATTCTCCCACCCCCTCTAAAAGAAGTTTGGGAATTTTCTCTCATTAATATTTAGAAGTCTTGTCAGTGTGCATAACTAAGATCTTGAATTGTATGAAGCAGAAATTGTTAAAACTATTTCTCTCTTAGGTTTCAGATTTACTTCTGTTCGAGGTGATAAAGTGGACATACTATATAATAACATAAAGCATGCATTTTTTCAACCTTGTGATGGAGAGATGATAATTTTACTACACTTTACACTGAAGGTAGGTTTATTTTTCATTTTAAAGATCAATTTTTTTTAAATAACTATTTGTGATCCTCTGGTGCTCTGGTAGCTTTAGCACTTGCTCTTCTGAATGTTTAAAAATATGTATTTTAAAAGCTGTTAAAATTTATGTTATTATTTTGTTCAAATAACATCACCAAAAGGTTTTCAATTACACTCTTTCTAATGTAAAGTACATTCTTTACTTTAATATTATACACAGACATTTTGTTGAAATTGTGGCCCCATTACCAGATGCAAAAGAAAAATATTAGGTAATGTGAAAACCTTCTCTCTCTCTCTTTTTTTTTTTTTTTTTTTTTTTCACCGCAGTTTGTAATATGTGGTTGTAATGGAAGTTTACTGCCAAAAAGTATTCTTAATAAAGTTAGAAGGGGAATATGAAAGCAATACCTTTAATGTGGGTAGTAAACATCACCTAAATCAATGATTTTTCTGAGACCATTTTGGTGGTTTCAAAGCCTTTGGCCTAGAAACTTGGTCGCGAGTTCAAAAACAGAATAACCTCATTTAGGACGTCCTGTGCAGAATGGAAGATAGCACCAGCAAGATTTAGCTGCAGGTGTAAAAAAATGTGGAAATTCAAAGGCAGTTAAATGATTTTCCTTGACAGCAGTGATAACGTGAACTAGCATCTCACCGGATGCTAGATCATGTTGACACTGTGTCAAGGGTTTTACCTTTTTCAGATTCTCCCACGGCAATCATACCACATAGTTTATACAAATTTAGAAGTAATAATACTTCTAGGCAAATTATCACTTTATATTTTTATGTGCATCTGTTATCACTTTATGTGTGCGTTGGAATTTTAGTAGGCGTATTCGCCTTTCGTTCTTGTGATTTATGCATGTATATTAAAATTCAGTTCATAAATTTTGTTTCAAGCTCAGAATCCAAAATGAATACTGAGTATCTCACATTTATGTTTGTCTTGCATTGTGCATTGGTATCAGCAACATTATGAAACCCTTAATTAATTAGTTATAGAATGAATGAATTAAATAGTTGTAGTTCTTTTAAAATGTGTTTGTTTTTAGAAGCATTTTGAAGGCTTAAATTTCTTTCTACACTTTGCTAAAAAAATACATTTTCATATTTTGTTTTGATGTGTTTAATACGAGCAGAAAAATTTTAGAACAGTTATGTGGCATAATTTGGAAAACAACACATAGTACATTTTACTGTGTATTAATTTTTTTTATTTAGAAGTTAAGAGCACCAAACCAATCACAAAGAAATTTTTTTTTAAAATGAAATATTAAAAATGTTCATGTTTTGTGGTAATTTTTGCTGAATAATACTCCATGTTATACATTTACATGTTTATTGTTCTTTTTATTGGTTTATAATAATTTATGACACTTACTAATGCTAGTCTTTTGATGTAGGTATTTCTTGCATAATTTATATGCACTGTAATGTTTGTATATTTTTTAAAGAATGCCATCATGTTTGGAAAGAAGAGAAATAATGATGTTCAGTTTTACACAGAAGTTGGAGAAATTACCACAGATTTGGGAAAACATCAACACATGCATGATCGAGATGATTTAGCTGCTGAGCAGGTAATACAGTCTTTCTCTCCTCTAAAAAATAGGGATATAGTTTCAACTTTTTTATACTGTGTTAATTGATATTAACATTAAAATAATTCCAGATTTTTGCAAGAGATAACTAAGAAACAATTATGAGATTAATTAAAATTATGTAGTAGTAATGTGCACTAATTAAAAATATATGTTGGCAGCTATACAAGGTTAGACATTGAGACTTTTTAAGTTGCCAGTGTCTGTCTGTGGTAGATTGTGACACAAATGGAGCAGCTGGTCAGCAAGTTGAGGCATAGTTGTACACGGCTGAATTTGCCCGCTCAACGTGGCCTAAACATTTTCAATAGGCGTGTCACCAGCTAAGATATTAACATGCAGAAGACATTGTGGCCAGTCGAGGGCACCAACATGCTAAAGACATTGTTATGAAAGCCGTGTCACCAGTTAAGATATTGACATGCAGGCCAATCGAGGGCATCAATAGGCTAAAGATATTGTTATGAAAGCCGTGCTGTGTGTAACTGAGCGTTATCCTGATTGAGAACAGAACTTGGATGATCTGCTAGCACAGGCAGTACGATCAGCTGCAAAATGCTGTCAATGTACCTGTAAGCAGTCAGAGGACCTCACAGCATGTCTAATGGTTAACAGCTGTCACACCATCTGTTCCGGCTGTGTGTCGTTCCGCAACAAGTTATACATTGGTCCACCTCTTCATCTCGAGACACGCCATCAGCATTGAGAGAAAACTTATTCGTTGCTGAAGATCAAATTCTCCAGACACTGTCCAGCTTGAGTGAAAAAGGCACTGTGCAAGACGACACTGCTTATTGTGGACTGTCAAGATCTAAATCCAGCATCACCTAGACTTCTGCAAATTTTATCCCCGAATCCATGCAAGTTCGCAAATGACGTTTAATTGATGCTGGGGTAACTGTTGTTCCAGACAGAGCAGCTCTTTTAATTGCGACATCATCTCGTGTGTTGGTGACACAGGGACCTCCCAAGCCCCCATGACATCTGGCTGTGCCTTCACTTAGCCTGTGGTTCCAGCAATGTAAAGCAACCATATCCCTTTGACCAATATTCTGGCCGATCTCCCTGTTCGATTAACTAGACTCTTTTAGCTTATAATAAGACTCCACTCAAAGTGTGACAACTGTTTGTAACACCACCGAGTAGGTATGAAAAACATCTTAGAGCAGTTGTAAATGCTGTGACTTGCTGCACCTGCTTTTTTACATTCTACCAGCTGCGCACTTAGAGGCATGCTGCATTGCTACTCCACAATGCTGCATTATCTACACAATTAGCCAAACCACATTTGCATCAAAAATTTTTCAAGTTGGATTTTCTGCTCTCAGCTGAGTTTTGTGTTGCTAATACTTATTTTTAAAATTGTGTATTGAGCAGATTTGTTGTTTAATCAGCATGTTAGAAGATTCCTTTGATATGGAGTTTATATCTAAGTTGTTCTTCAGACATACTGCTGGTGAATATAACTAATGTTTTGTAATGTAGAAAGTTTAATATACAGTATAATTTTTAGGCACATTAGGTCATTTAAGCTAACAATATATTTAGGCATTCGTACAATGGTAAATTTCAAAGGGATTAATGATGTCATTAATACTGTATAATTCAATAACTGTTATCTTGAATTTTTGTCGTTGAATTGTGTTGAAAGCGTTGCAGGTAATTTTCTCTGTACAGTGGAACCTCAAGATACGAGGGCGAGTATCAGCGAAAAATTCGTCTCTAAATACTAGCATTGACTCCAACAATGAGTAATGAGCCAATCTGTTGGTATGCATAACGCTATTTCCTGATCTGGCTTGACTTGGAGAATTCCCTCATCAGATCACTCAGTGTTCTTTGATCTACGTGTTTGTGCGCTTGTGAGTTAATTATATTTTACATTTTACATGAAAATAATTATTTTGCGATGTCTCCCAAGAAGATTGATGCCTCAGATAGTGCTGCGAAGAAAACGAAGGAAGCCATGGCCATTGAAATTAAGAAAGAAATCGGATAAACATAAGCATGGTGTAAGAGTGACAGAATTGGCTGAGGCTTATGTTCGGCATCAACGATCTGCATTGTTCTGAAGAAGAAGGAAAAAATTAAGAAACTTCAGTGGCCAAAGGAATTACCGTTCCTTCCAAGCGCCGTCCAAAACTCCTAGATGTTGAGAAGCTGTTGTTGGTGTGGATTAACGAGAAGCAATTAAAAGGTATTGTCAGATGTTATCATAAAGGTAAACTACGGTTATATTATTTACCAGTGTTATTTATTAGAAAAATTGATTTTTATACTGATATTTTAGGGGGTGTGGAACGGATTAGCTGGATTTCCATTTTTTTCAATGAAAAGTTTGTTTCTGGATACAAGAAATTCACTGTACGAGCTTAATGCTGGAGTGAATTAAACTAGTATCTCGAGGTTCCAGTGTATAGTGTGATGGTTGTGAAATTTTAATAGTCAGTACTATTGAATAACTTTGATAAGGTAGTTTTAAACATATTTTCAACAACTGTATCAAAGAGGGAATGAATTTTTTACCTCTGTCGGGAGATTGTTTGTAATATTTCTATAAGTAAAGTTCTCTGAATGCAGCCCCCCCTTTTTTTTTGTTATTGTATCCATATTATGTTGTTAAAATGCATAATAAAAACTCTTAAATCATTCTTCATCTTTTAAATATCCCAAATCATTTGGAGACTTTTAAAATATAGAATTCTTGATGCATAAATAACAACTTCTACTATGCTTGTAATTAACATTAAAATGTCAAAATTCTGTAGATTTTTCTCTACTTCAGGCTGAGAGAGATTTAAGACAAAAATTGAAAACAGCTTTTAAAACATTTTGTGACAAAGTTGAGCAGATGACAAAACAGGAAGTTGAATTTGATACTCCCTTTAGAGAGCTTGGTTTTCCCGGTGTACCATATAGAAGTACTGTACAGCTGCAACCTACCTCAGGATGCTTAGTAAATCTTACGGATTGGGTATGTTTATTTTTATTTTTTTTTTTTTCCATATCTCTCTGTCTCTCTTTTTTTTTCTTTTTTTTCTTTTTCTTTTTTTTTTTTAAACTTTTTGAATCGCTTTTCAAAATGTTGCCACCAAATGTGATTGCAATACATTTCAAAAAAATCAATAATGAAGAGCCTACATATATATGTATGTATGTTGTATGTTCCTCACATTATGGAAGATGACATTACCTTAATCATCATCATGATAAATTTTTAATACACTTAGTTCTCCACCTGAACATATGTGCCTGGAAGCCCGACTTGTGAATTAATTTATTTAATTATTTTGTACAAATTTATGATTTCCCCCTCCCCAAGGAAACTCGGTGATTTGAAAGTAAGCAGTGGCAAAAGTATTCCAAATAACACATCTTTTATCTCCAGCATGCAAGACTGTTAGTATTTGCAAAAGTGTAATATATTTATCTTTCCGTTTTAATTAACAAACTCAGCTGTTGGAGAGAAATGTATTGTAATGTACTTTCAGAAATGATATACTTCTGCATGCCATGTTGTTACCATGAAGTAAAGCCTAAGCTATAACTTTGAAATTTAATCTTAACGATCATTGAGAGAAAAAGTAAGTGATTTAAAAACAATAAACACAGTTCTTAAGAATATTTTTTCTTCTTTTTTAATCTTATACATTTAAATAAAAATTTATCATAAAACCGTAAGATGTCTAATTAAAAATATTAACTACTTTTGTGAAATTACAATAACTGGAATCATTTAAATCATTATATACTTATTCTTTTTACTTCCTTGTACGAAGCGAAGGAAGTAAGACTGTAGTCACGAAAAAAATCGGAGTACCATGTTTCAATGAAAATATCCATTTTAACCATTATCGAATGCAATTTAGCGATGTTTTTGTGTGACATCTGTACATAATGACAGAACAAAGGACACTCCCCCCCCCCAAAAATAAATTATAAACTGACTCTGCGGTTTTACCATCCGCGGCTACATCTTATAACGACACTGAACTTGACACCCCCTTTTTTTGCAGACCTCACTCTCTTTCATCCGCCTCCCACACTCCTTTCACCCTTCTCTTTCTCTCCCCCCCACCCGATCTTTATCAGAAGTCGAGTAAAAAGATGTTTCTACATCTTGACACTCGAGAATAAAATACGATCTGTGTGTGATTTGTCGAAGTTGTTCGATAACGCTGATAAAAGATACACTGCGTACCAATAAGTATTTGGACACCTGTGATAGAAAAGAAAAACTAACCTATCAAAATCAATAGTGGTAGGCCTCCACGAGAGGTAATTACAGCGTGGACCTCTGTGGCATACTTCCACAAGTCTTTGTATGACAGCTAGTGGTATTTTCTTCCACTCGGCTTGGGAGAAGACATAGAGTTCCATCACAATTTTGCACGAGTAGTGCACCGCTGTTCGGAGATGCACTCGTCCCAGAGGTTCTCGATAGGGTTTCAGGTCTGGACTCTGGGCAGGCTAGTCCATTCGATGAACTCTATTGGCAACATATACGCCTTGGTACTTCAAAACATGACACTGGCATTGTCGTCTTGAAGTACGGGTCCAACCTGTAAAACTCCACAACGTAGGAGAATATTGTGTCTCCAATATTCTTCCAGTTGAGTGCGTAGGCATCGGAGTTGAGCTTACCTGAATGGGCATCAAGGTCCCGCCATACAAGAGAAACCCCCCAGACCATCTCCCTTCCGCCGAACTTGACTGTTGGCACAATGCATTCTGGCAGGAGACGTTCTCCAGGTAGACGCCAGACCCAGACCCTCCCATCCGAACGGTAAAGGTGAACCTTGATTCGTCACTCCAAACCCATTTCCACTGATCTACGGTTTAATTCGATGTGCTTTGCACCAATTAACTGAGCGCACGGTTGCACTTTATGATCAAAGGCTTATGGGCCAAGCACGACCCATGAAAACAAGCAGATGTGCTTCCTTACGGATGGTATTCATTGAAACATACTCCCAATGCTGTTGAAACTCCTCGCGGATGAGGCTATTGGTTGGGTGCGGTTCTTCCGAATTTCTCTGAACGCACTCGTCGGCTCTATCCCCCAGTTTGTTGGTCGCCGACTCGGGGCACATTCCGACAATCACCGCTCACCTTCCTCTCTTAATCACATGGCCACTGTCGATTTGAGTACTTCAGATCGCTAGATATGTCCCTTAAGGATCGGCCACATTTGTGATACCCGATAATTGTACGTTTCTCGAATCAGAGAGTTCGACTGCGGGCACCATGCATGCGACTAAAGCCGATGCTGTTTCCTACACGATATATATACCGGTCGAGTCCGTGACGTAACTAGGACCGCAGATTCGTCATTTGCATAGGTGTCCAAATACTTATTGGTAGTCAGTGTATATTTTTATGGTGTCTGTACGTATGTATGTATCTCGCATAACTCATAGGATTGTTATAGCATATAGTTGTGCACCTCTCTTTTACGTGGCAATTGCCCACACCAAAAGTATAAATATATATATATATATATACCCACTTTTACTCATCTCATTTAGCTTAGTTTTTTATTCTGATATGTTGGTAAATTGTTCTTAGTCTTTTCCCCCCCCCTTAAAAATGCTTGAATTATGTTACTATCTTCTGGTTAAGATTTTTATGCCTTAGTTAACTTCTGCGCAATAGTTGTAGAATTATCAACAATTTAAAGTTGCTTAAGTGCAGCTAAGTCTTATTTTTTTACCATAGCAGTGATATATGTTTGCTTATGAAACTTAGCAGTATGGTGGATTTGTTGCTAGTCTAGAGAACCTAAGCCTCGCAACAACAAAGATAACATCTTCTGTTATTATTGTGAATTGCTTAGTCCAATCTGGAATTATCATTTAAGTTATTAAATTGGCTCATATATTGACTCAGCATAGCGTTCACAACAAATTCAGTGTCTTTTTGGCCAAGTGAGGCCAAAAGTAAACTTTCGGTTTTGTGCACCGAAATTGCTTCTTCCCCGCTGGCAATAGTTGTTTTTGCGTAGAAATCAATTTAATTGTAAAATTGTTCTTTAACGGGTTCGTACAGTCCTACAAGTGCTTATAAGTCCTTATATTTGAAAATAAAATATAAAGGCCCTTATAGGTGCTTACTTTTTCTTTAAAGCCCTTATTATTTTGTTTTTAGTGCTTATTTTTTGCTTTTAGTGCTTTTTTAATGAACGCGCTATTTCCCCCCCCCTACCAAAGCCGAAACTAAATAAACAACTTTTCTTAATATTGAATGTCAGGTGGTGAATCATACTCCCGGAAATAGCTTTTCCCCCTTTCTCTGCATTAACATAACCTTTGGTGCGCACAAAGAGTACAGACAGGTGCCCGTCGTTATATTGGTCAAAGAATTGCGAAAGCAGTAGAAAATTTCGGTACATTCGGCATTCTTTTCCTCCCACCCAAATACTATACACGTTTAAATTTCTATCCAGATCTTAATAATTTGCATTCTCGTTCCGCTTGGTCAGTTCATATTTGTGTTTATTATGATCATTATGCTTATATTATGAGTATATGTATGAATGTTTATAATAACAGTTGCAGTAACTGCTGAAGTATAGTAAACTTCCAAAAATGGTTGTATTTTAACACAGCGTTTTAGGAATAATACTCGGAATGGCTTAAATAAAGGGAAAGTAATCGAATAGTCAAAATAATTTAATTTTTTTTGGCCAATACATTATATAGTGCGAAGATTGGGAGGTTCTCCCCTTTCTCCGCAAAATCTCAAATATTGAAACTGTTACAAGTTCGCTGCAAAACAAGCAACGGACTTTTTTTTTTTTTTTTTTGTCACTTTCCAATCTGGATTGAATAGGACTAAAAGTTCTGTGGTCTACCAACCCAAGCGAAGAATGATTCTATTGCGGAAATTTAACGCCGTCTGTTGAAAATTAGAATGAAAAACACCCCAGTTTACTCTCATATTTAGTTCTTTATTCTCCCAATTTCAGCAGCTGTTGATTCCGATTGCGTAATATCACGTAGGGAAGAATTATGGCACACGTATTGTGCAATAACGTTTGCGATATTTCGCAGAGATAATTAATTAATTTTGATGTTCTGTTTGAGATTTGTTTATGAACACTTAAAAGAGTTTTACTGTGCTTGCTAAGCAGAATATTTTTCAGTTCCATTGGTTTATTTTTATATGATTCACATATCAAAATGTCAAAAGCATTTATTTAGCGGAAAAATCTAAAAAGTGGCTAGTCAACCCCCCCCCCCCTCCGCTCCTCTTTTTCAAGTTACGCTCAACTGTCCGAATATTCGCCAGTTTCCAAGTATGCGGCTTAGTTAAGCTTTTACTGTTAAAGGATGACTGCATGAAGCAAATTTCTGTCTTCTGATTTCAGAAATGTTCCTCTTTTTTACTTAAATTACTTTGCTTGCAATATCTGTTAAGAGAAAACTGATATACAATGAAAATTTAGAAAATATTCAGAATTTAGATTTAAATTATTTAAATATTAATATGAGTGGAAAAATAAATTGTATTTATTATTAGGTTCCAAGCAAATACAATAAATATGCCTTATTATTATTTATTTTCTCTATTTTGAACTGAAATTTCATCATTAAATCTTGTAATATAGTTTAGTTCTGCATAGTTTTTTTTTTTTTTTTTTTTTTTCTCTCATTGTAAACTAGTTCTGTAAATTGAACTGTTATTTAAAATTTAAAAAAAAAAAAGTAATTTTTTTTCCATGGTTGAGGTAATGCTTATTCTCTCTTAATAAATACTGCATTTCTCATATTTTAAATTACAAGTCTAATTAAGGTTATGCAGTTGTGTATAATGTCATTAGACAGGTGCTTATTTTTTTAACTAAATGTGGCTATACCCTGTTAAATTGTATTTATGTATTTTTATTTTTTCTATTTTAATAAGATATTTTGAGGCTTATGTTTTGCCTGTTGTAAGTAGAACTGAATTAATTAATGAAATATATCTCTAATGATCGGGAAATAAGTTTAAATGAAATGCAGGAAAAATTGCATATAATTTAATAATCCCTTCAAGGAAGTGATGTACACATCATATTTTTTATAACTGTTTTAGGTAGCTAGGTTTTTAAGAAAATAGTGACTATTAAAAAAGTGTATGGCAACTTCATCAGGAATAATAAAAATATGCTGTATTTAAATGTTTTGTATTTTTTTAAATTAATTTGAAAGTTTATTATTGTAAATTATCAATAAAACTTCGGAATAATTTGAATAGTATTTCTTAAAATTATTTCTCAAAGTAATTGTTTTTATATATTTTTATGTAAAATAGAGGGAAAAGATTGTTAAATGCTAATTTTAACATATGTTATATTTTAAGTAGTAATCTATAATAGTACCAAAAATTGTGACATTAGGATTTTTTTTTATTCCCCCACCCCTTAAACTAGGCGTAGTGGGCACAAACCCCATCCTGTGGGATGATTCCTTTCAACTCTCATCGATACCGAAGGAACATCTTAAACAAAGGCACGATGTCGAAAGGCTTAAAATAATGTTCAACATGCCCAAAGTTTAAAAAAAAAAAAAAAAAAAAAATTATAAGCCAACTTAAGAAAACTGAAGCGTGATATGATGAACTGAGAAAAGGCTGGGGGGGGGAAGTTATGCCAGCACATAACACTTTCTTGGGAATATTAAACATCTGCTCCTATGTTAATTTGAAACATTTTGCAATTTTGCTGTTGAATTTTATGTGGTTTGAGTGGAAAGAGATGCTGAAGCTAAAAAGACCAAAATATTGTGTTAGCAAGAGTGAGGTTCTAAGAGCTAACTGGTAGATTGGGAGTTCAGTGAGAGCATTTTTTTTAAAAACCTATGATGTCCTGTTAAAATCTTTTTTTCTTAGGCACTAGTTTCTATAAATCTTCACAGGATTTTGTATGGAGAAGAAATTAACTTTGAGTAATTATGTAAAAGAATTCTGATAGTGCAGATTCATGAATTTTGTAGGATGTGTGAGAGTTATTTTAGTTTTATTTTGTATGATCTGTTTCCAGTTAGTATGTCAAATCTGGATTGTTTGTTTGTAGCTGAAATGCATTGGTGTCTTAAGAATTATTTAATAGGTATTGTATAAACTTTTTTTAAAAAAAGTATATGAAGAAAATGAAAGTGGAAAGAAAAAATAGTAAAAGGGGAGGCTTTTTCTTTAGGGGGGTCATTAAATAATTTAATGTAAAAATTATATATACTCAACAAGTTATTTTTATGCTCATTAGTGAGAAAAAATACTATACGTATAAAAAAACACTCAACAATAAAATTTCCCTAAATTCAATTCCTACGTTATTTCTACATTAAATTTCACACATGTATAGTTCGATTATTAATACTGCAAAATCTTTTATAATTAAAATTTTGTATCTTTTAAAAGAATTTCAACATCCATTTTGTTTACCTTGTTTTGCATTTGAAAATTCTTTTAAAGTACGCTTTGAGGATCTGTCTCTGTTTCATAACTAATGCAAATTTGCGTGCATACATTGTGAACATACCAGATAATTTTAAAATTAACCACCAAAGTGCAAAAGGCAGCATATACACCCAAAATATTCATAATCCCATTTATTTAAAAAATACATAAATAAAGTGCTGATGCAGATTAAAAAAATACTTATTTCTATAATAAATTCGTATAAAATTTTGTTCGTGTACATTCAAACTCAAATGTGATTGGGGTTGTATTGTATCATTTTTTTAATTAAAATTAATTTTTTTTTAAAATTTAGTGCACTAAATTTTAAAAAAATTTCAAAAATATATCTGAACCTTGTTTCTATGTATGTTTAGTCGTTACTCCAATTTTTGTATTTTAAATTGAGTAATTAAAATTTTATTACAGTTTAACAAGTTATGCGCTGTTTCCATATAAAAGCAGAATTATAATGTATGAGTAAACAATAAACTGTAAAATAATGGGCATTCAACTAATTGCTTGAAATGAAAGAGTAACATAAGAGTGCTTGCAATGTTGCATATCTTTGAAAGCTCAATTATTTATTAAAAGCATGATCTCTCTGTCTGTCTATAAGGTTTGTCTATTTTCAATCATTCTTTATGGTGCGACATTTTCTCTGTCAGGCAGTGTATATTTATCCAAGAATTAATATTTTTATTTTAAAATATCACAGTAAATGAAAGATCTTAAAGTGTTCTTTCTTTTCTCTGTCTTGCACATTTTGTTTAGTTTTTTTTTAAAGTATTTCCTTTTAATTATCTTTTATGGTTGAAATGTTTTTAATGTTTTATTTCAGCCTCCATTTGTTATCACCTTGGAAGAAATAGAATTGGTGCATTTTGAGCGTGTTCAGTTCCACCTGAAAAATTTTGACATGGTTTTTGTCTTTAAAGATTATCACAGGAAAGTTGCCATGGTTAATGCAATACCTATGAACATGCTGGATCATGTTAAGGAATGGCTTAAGTAAGTTATATCTGTGCAAAAAGTAATTTTGCCTTTAGTTTCATACTAGCCGCTACACAGCCAGCCTTCTTCTGGCTTTTAAATGTACCGTGAAAATGCCTAAAGAGAACACCACTAAATTAAAAACCTGAGTATGTTATATATATAACATACTCAGATAAGAAGTTTTTTTTCTTTCTGACATAGAATTAAAATTCTGCTAACCGATTTATTCCTTTCCATTTTCTTCAATATGCACCAAGTGTGCTGAGACCACTACACCACAAAGGCATGCCAAGAAGGCGGGAGAAATATCTTATAAAATGTGTTCAAATGTGTGCTATGTAGGCTAGCTGCAAAATCTGCAGTGGTAGCTCAGATTTCTTTCCTGAAACCCTTAATCGTATCGTTCTTTTTCAACGTACTAATAAAAAAAATTTTTTAAAGTAAATTAAGCTTTCAGTGGGCTTCTATAACATACTTCTTATCTGAGTATGTTATAGAATTTTACTCTGCAGAACAACTTTTTTTTAAAAAATTTTAAAAGTACACATAATTGCAGAACAACTTTATTAAAACATTAATAAAAATTTATTGCATATAAAAAATACAATGAAATAAGCAATATCGCTTAATGCAAATATTAATTAGCCTAATAAATAAATTAACCAACGTCCCTTTGCAAAATCTTAAGAATTCAAATGGTATAAAGGAGGTTAAGACCTTTGTTTCCTAAAAAGAAAACATACAAAACTTTTTATATAATTAAAAAATTAAAATATTACAATTAAATAAGCAATAAATCTCATATTTTCAACAGTCAGCGGTATCCAAAGCAATGAATGAAAAACTGTTGACGAAACCGCATTGCTCAAAGAATGAAACTATCATCAGAAAGCAATAACCAATCAAAATTGTGCTCTGTGGATGACATATTTCAAAATATGCAAACCTCTTTGCCGTTATATGCAAACCTCTTTGTTAGCGAAATAAAGAAGGGGGAGAAAAATTCTTTCTGTTGTACCTCACAAGGCACATGCACATCAGAATAAGAAGGTTGCAATGTGCATGTTGTGTGTCCAAAAATCAAAAGAAAATAAGCAGCATTTTATCTTATATTTTCAACAGTCAGCAGTCTAGTATCAAAAGCATTAAATGGAACACTTTTGCCAAAACCACATTTGTAAAAGAAAAACTATTCAAAATGATGCAATTTTATCAAGAAAGATAAAATTTAAAAAGAAACTATTTCACATTTTGAAAAAGCCCCTTTGAGGTGCACTGGCTGTTGTCTAGATGCACCTATGTACCAAATTTTGTAACCTGATTCTATTACTTACGTGCAGCACGAATGAAAGACACACAGACAGACTTTTATTATACACTGATTATCATAAATTAACAAAAAATCACAAAAATAGCGATAACTTCCTAAAAAATAAGCCAAACCTAGTAAAATTTGAATATGTTCCCAAGTAAGAGTAGCTGAGTAAAACTGCGATATGCAAATTAGTGGACCTGTTCTCGGAATACATCATCTGCGAGGAGCATAAAAGTCCATATTTGAGAGCTTCACTGTGACATCAGAAATCTGAGATAACCAATTCGTAACAATGACCCCCCCAGGCATCATTTGCCTGCAGAACTGCGATGGAGAGCCATTAGGAGACTAGATGCAGGACAAAGTCAAACAGAAGTGGCCAGATGGCTGAATGTGAGTCCTTCTGTGGTTCATAGACTTTGGAGGTAATTTCAAACCACAGATTCGCTATCTGGGAGGTTCATCCTAGGAGGCCAACTGCTACGATGAGCGCTGATGACGATATTTGACATTAGTGCACGCAGGAATAGAACCATACTCCGACTCTTTAGTTCTCCCTTGCTGCATCCACGGAAGGTTCGTTCAACGTCAACTGTGCGTAGAAGGCTTCACGAAGGTGGTCTGTATGCGAGGCGATCAGCCATTTGTGTGCCGCTCATGTCACGCCATAGGAGGGACCGTTTCAGTGGCACGAAACATGTCCACTGGGACGCCTTATCAGTGGAGGGCAGTTTTTTCGGATGAGTCTAGGAAAGCGAAGTAGGCGTATTTGATATGGAGGAGAACCTAGAACCCATTATCATCTGTCAAACATCCGTGAAAGAGATGCATACAGAACAGGCAGTGTCTGTGTTTGGGGTGGCATCTCTTTCGGTGGACGTACAGACCTCCATGTCTTTCCACCGGAAACTGTGAATGCTCCAGTTTATAGAGATGACATCCTTGATACTTATGTACACCCATGTGCCGGGGCAATAGGTGATGCTTTCCTATTACAAGACTATAGCTCAATACCACACAGGGCTCGCATCGTAGATGATTATCCTCAACAGGACACATTTATGTGCATGGAATGGCCAGTTCGATCCCCGGACTTGAATCCTATCAAGCACGTTTGGGATGATTTAAAGAGACATCTAGCTGCTCTCAGTCTGTCCCCTCTATGGAGACTGTATATTGAAAGCATCACACATCACTGTATGTGCTGTATTGGTTCTAGGCGACCATCTTCCCTATTGAAGATACTTTTCCTATAGCAAACTGACACCTTCAATTTGTTCATTTTATACATGTGCTAATTTCTATACTACCATATTTTCTGGTAATTTCTTTTTATGTTATTTGATACTATGTGTTGATAGTGGGTAATTTTCATTAAATTCTACACGTAACTTTTTCAGTAATCGTGATTTTTATGATTTTTCCTTAATTTATGATAACCAGTGTATGTAGAGCTTAATAGCTGTGACCTTTATATTATGCTTAGTGAAGTATCTTATTTTTATTTAATTTCATTTATAATGTGCATGGACCTGTTTTGTAAAATCAAAAAAAAAAAAAAAAATCTCTTCATTTCAAGTTTAACAAAGGTTCTTTTCTTCCCCCCTCTTTTTTTAAGTGTTGACACTTCTTTCCCTCTCATAAAAAAGTTCCTGTTTTAAATAATTCTTAGTTAATAAAAAGAAAGCAAATAAATGGTTATTTTAACAGTAAAAAAGTTTACAAGTTTATATCAAACTGCCAATTCTTTTCTGTATTGCGTAGCTGGCACCTCTATTACTGTTAATTTTAAGCCTTTGTCTAGAAAAATGCTTCTCAGCAGTAAATAATATAAATTGAATGAATGGAATTTAAACTGTGCAAATTCTGTTCTCAGCCTTAGTATATTTCTCCATACCATATGTTCACGAATAAGATACTCACCAGATTTTTTTTCTATGCACCAAAAAAGAAAAAATTTCCATGAATATGGCGCACATATCTTCATCAAGCCCACTGAAAGCTTAATTTACTTTAAAAAAAATTTTTTTATTATTATTATCGTTGAACAAAGAACGATACTGATCAATGGTTTTCAGGAAAGAAATCTGAGCTACCACCTGCAGATTTTTGCAGCTACTGCCTAAGCACATAGCAACACATTCTGAACAACATTTTATAAGATATTTCTCCCGCCTTCTTGGCATGCCTTTGTGGTGTAGTGGTCTCAGCACACTTGGTGCATATTGAAGAAAATGGAAAGGAATAAATCGGTTAGCAGAATTTTAATTCTACGTCAGAAAGAAAAAAACTTCTTATTTGAGTATATGTTATATAAAATTTTATTCATTAAACAATAGCTTCAGTCGGCAACAATCACTGCACCAAATATGGATTTAAAAGTCCTAAGTGATCCTTTAAAATCTACTTGTAATCTAATGAAGGCAGATAACTTACCCACCATGGCACTTCTTCCCACGTTTTCACTCTGAAAACACAATGTAGATTGTCATTCTTCCTCACCTTCTGCACTGCTGTCATCACTGATGCTTTCCAAACTGCCAGTATTCTCTTCTTCTTTATTAGCTGAGCTCCAGTGCTGCTGCCAGTGTTATGACTACGAAGACAAATTCAGCAAAAACCATTAAAAGAATAACAGTTTGGTAAAAGTACTGGTATATCCTCTACAAACCCCCTAGCCAGAATTTATTATTTGGGAGGCTACAGTAGCACTGTATAACGTTATATTTCTTGGGGATACCATAGCTTCAAAAAGAAATAATTTACACTGACCAACTTACCTAGCCTGTATTGCTTTCGTGTAAGCAGCACATCTTGATTTTTCGAATTAAATAAAATTATTTTTAAAAAATTCGTGGTATTTGTGAACATATGGTAATTGTTTTTATTAAAGTTTTACCTGAATTGCCACAATCTGTCATGCTTTTTCGTAAAACGTTTTACAAATATTTAACCTTTATTTCCATTGTTAATATTTAACCCGTATTTCATTAGTTAATATTTGTAAATTATGTTTTATATCAATAAATGGTACTCTACTAAGTTTATTCGCATAATAGTACAAACATTATTAATATATACAGGGTTCATACAGTCCTTAAGAGCCCTTAGGTTTTTTGGAAACGATTTTTGGTCCTTAAAAGTCTTTAATTTCGGCCAAAATCAGTAGAAGGTTTTTTATTTTAACCATCTGAAATTACTCTGTTTTTACGTCTTCTTCCTCAATTTTCGAAAAGATTATCTTTTTGGTTGGAAATGCATTATCATATTATATCTAAACACATGGCCAAGCCATCTGATACAAGATGCCTTTACGATTATCGGTAATCTAAGTACCTAATTTAATTATTTTTAACTAGCTATTTACTCTTTTTAAATTAAAGCTAGTTACTGCCTTTCATTAATCTTTACCTTGATCACAAGATAAAACAAAAAATGTATTAACTTATGTAACCTGATTCGTGTAATGTAAACTCTTTCATGTAAAACTTATTCTTTGCATATAGAAAGACTTAAAATAATATAAAATATTTTATCACCTCTGGAGCTTAATTGTAACCTTTAAGTATATAACAAAAAAATCAACGCACCAAGAAAAAATCATCCGATTGCTTTGAAATTTTATACACATAAATGTTTTGACCAAATAGGTAATTTAATTAATGATTAAAATTTAATTATTAAAATTTGTTATTAAAAAGAATGACTAAAATTTGTTTCCAAGGACTGAATAGTGCGATCTCCTGCACATCAGAACTGTGAATCCAGCAGATGTATATAAAGAGCTGTTGTTGAAAATTTCTGTTGCATTGCGATTTAGGATACCTTGCAATGACTGAAAAAATGCCTCGACGCAGGAATTACTGTCAGAGTTTGAAAGAGGCAAGTTGGGCAAATCGAAGAATCGTTTTGTCATATGAGTTGAAGTAATGTGGCAATTAGAAGATGCTTGCAAGAATGAATAGGTGAACAATGGTAGATTTCAGCATCAACCTAAGGCCACAACAGATCAGGAGGACAGAATTGTCAGATCAGTTGTCACAGTGCCTGTTTGATCTTTATTAACCATCAGACGTGAGACCTGTACTCGAGTGTCCACCATGACCATTCACAGACAGCTGATAGAGCAAAATCTACACTTGTACCGACTGTTACGACACCTGCCACTCACGCCTGTACATTGTCGAGCCAGATTACAGTGGTGCTTGGCTTGATCATGTTGGAATGATGCTGACTGAGGACGTATAGTGTTTAGCGACGAATCCCGCTTCCAACTTTGTTGTGGTGATAATTGAAGAAGACGTGTTTGATGATGCCCAGAGCAGCATTATGATCTTGCTTTAACTATTGCACATCACACAGGCCGTCAACCAGGAGTTATGGTATGGGGTGCTAGTTCCCTTTTAGCCGGAACCCCTTTGGTCATCATTAGAGGTAAATTTATAGCACAGCGGTACGTCGACGACATTCTGAGACCTGTTTTGCTACCGCTTCTTTTTCAGTACCCTGTCTTAGTTTTCGGCAAGATAATGCCAGACCACATGCGGCATGTGTTATCTTACAGCTTGTCAAGGACTTCTTTGGCCGGCCAAATCATCAGATCTCTCTCCCATCAACCATGTCTAGGATATGATGGGAAGGCAACTGTATCTACCTGGGAATAACCTACCTTGACAAATGGAGCAAATTTGGCAAGCAATACCGCAAGAGACCATATCCGACCATGCCATGGCATGTGGCAACTTGCGCTCAGGCTAGAGGTGAGTCAACACATTGAGCTTGTTACCTTGTAACGATGTAATTGTGAAATAAATTATTCAATTGTTCTGAAATTTTAATCATTTTCTACTCTGTACATTATTTTCCTATTCACCAATTTTTGTCTTCATCAGACAACTTCTTGGTGCATCGATTTTTCTGTTATAGGATGTATATTAACTGGGTCACAACCTCTGGAACTCTTTACAAAGCTATGACACTAATTGTGTTAGAGCCCAACTTTTAAAACTTCTCAACCATGCCTACATCAGGCCTTTCCGGTTTGTTCTAATCAGCAGGTCTTTCTCTAGAGAAGCAGCAGCGGTGACAACAGCCAGTCTTTTGTCATGAACAATGCTGATTCTGATTTTACTTCTCCGCTTGACAGAAAATCTATATACAGTACAAAGTCTGTAATCTGATCGTCCATTACCCGGAATGATGCGCGCTTAGCACAAAAAACGAAGCAACTTGAACAACTTACATTGAAAGAAATATTTAATAAAGTAAACAAATAAGTATTAAACTTTTTTTGTATTAATTGTTTTGAAATTGATTAGATGCATATTTTCTATGTAGATTTCTTTAATTTACACACTAATAAATAAAATAAAGTTTTTATAATAAAACCAATATTTATATTTTGCAGTCAACACCCCTTTAGTTAAAAATTACCAACCATCTCAAAGATTTGCTTTTCAGTATTTTGATAATTTGTGATTTTAGATCATAAGTTTAAATCTAGTAAATTGACATGTAGACATGGAAGCACATGGGCTCATTGTTTAGATCAGACAAAGTGCTAACCCCTTCATAACCCTTCATTGTCACCAAGTGTTATCTTGGGCGACATCAATATGTCAATCGATTCATTGTAATTGGGTCAGCTGCACGACCTAGCCAGTAGGAATTCAAAGGTGACATGCATGCAGCAGATCTTAGTGGGGAGAAAAGAGCCAGTTATAGTACAAACGCCTTCTTTTGCTGAGTATCATATGCTCTGTTCCTAGACTCTGTAGGCCAGGAAGGCAATATTTCTAGCTAATTACATATATATGGTCAGAAAATAAGTCGTTATGTCCCAAGAAAAATTGTTACTGCACGTAATAAGAAATTTGGTTAAAAAAAGTGCAAACCTGTTTTATTTTATTTATACTTGCAGCTCATGTGACATTCGTTATACCGAAGGAATTCAGAGTTTGAATTGGACAAAAATCATGAAGACTATAACTGATGACCCTGAAGGATTTTTTGAAAGTGGAGGTTGGTCATTCTTGGATCCTGATAGTGAAGGTGAAGAAGGAGAAGATGATGAGGATTCAGATGAAGATGATCAGTACCAACCTAGTGGATCAGAAGATGAAGAAGAAGAAAGTAGTGAAGAAGATTACAGTGGATCTGAATTTTCAGAAGATGAAGATAGTTCTGGTAACTGTTTCTTACTCATCTCTTTGTTTTTATGAGAAATGACATTTTTTTCATTTGCCTGAAATTGGCTTTCTCTCTCTCTCTTTTAAGTTATAATAACTTCTAGTTCAGAATGTGGTAAGATAGGTTATCTAAGATGGTTTATCTTCACAAGGCATATTCTGTTGGTTAAAGATACTACAGTCTGTCTGTCATAACAAAAGCTTTTGCCAGTTAGCCTGCAGCTGTGTGTTGCCGTAGAAACGAGCTTTCACCTATTTCCCTTAGGGGGATGTCCTAAAGATTGCCTATCTTGGCGCAATTAAAGATGAATTGACAACCCTTGGTTCACCCCTGAATCTGAATATCTGAAATATACTAGCATAGCGACCACCACCCACCAGAGACTGTAGCGGAAGCTATTCTTCTCATAGACAGACAGTACATCAGAATGTTCTTCTGTTCATATATGTCAAAAATGATTTATAAAATAAGAATTAAATTCTAATATATTTAATACTTACACATATTATAGACATTACAGAATGTCCTATGTAAAGTTACAGGGTTCATAGCGGTCCTTATAAGTGTTTATAAGTCCTTATATTTCAAAATAAATTACAAAAGCCCTTATATGTGCTTACTTTTTCTCTAAAGTACTTATTTTTTTTAGTTCTTCCCCCCACCACCACCATCAAAGCCGCAACTAAAACAACTTTTTCTTTCTTATTTAGAGGGTCAGATTGTGAATCGTACTTCTGGAAATAGCTTTCTCCATATTAACGTAACCTTTAATTTGTGCGAGTAGAGACAGGTGAATGTCATTTTATTGGTCAAACAGTTATGAAAAGGGGTAGAAAATTCCAGTATATTTTTTCACATACTTTTCGTTCCACCCACAGACTATAGACGTTCCAAATCCCTCGTGGTCAGTTCATATTCGCGTTTATTGTGATCGTTATCGAATATGTATGAATATTTATAATATATTTGCAGTAAAGACTGAAATGGGTGTGGGTAAGTGTGTTTTTAACACAGATTTGGCTTTCGAAAGAGGAATATTCTGAATGGCATAAACAAAGTGAAAATAATTGCAAGGCCATGTGTTCCTGGTGGAAAACTGAAATCAACATAGCAAGCATGGCCGAGTCTGCTTTAAAGTGGTCACATGGATCGTAAGTAAACTTTTTTCTGTTTAATTATTGTTAATTCTTGTGTGAAAATAAATAAAAAATAAATAAATAAATAAATAAATAAATCTTCCATGTACCATTTATTTATTTTTTTATTTTCGTTTTCTGCTTTTGTTATACCATTCATTTACTATATCCCCCCCCTCTTCCTAGTATTTCTGCATTTCATGCTTATATTCAAAGTTGGGAATTTTGGGCTAGCATTTTCAATTTTTTTGCCAATGCATTCTACAATACTGAAGAGAGAGGTCATAAGGTTCCGGATCCTTCCCTTTTTGCGAAAAATCTCGGATATTCAAACCGTTAACAGTTCGCAGCAATGGACTGGTTATTATTTGTCACTTTCCAATATGGATTGAATAGAACTAAAAGTTCTGCAGTGTACCAACTCAAGCGAAGCGTAATTATATTGCAGAAATTTAATGAAGTCTGTTCAAAATTACAATGTAAAACACTCCAGATTTGTAAGTCTCATTCTTTTCCTTTATTTAGTTTTTTATTCTCCAAATACTGGCAGCTGTCGATTCCAATTGCGTAATATCACGTGTGGAAGAATTAAGGCGCGCTTATTGTGCAATAACATTTGCTATATTTTGCAAAGATAATTAATTTTGATATTCAATCTGGAATTTCTTTATGAGCACTTAAAATAGTTTTACTGTGCTTGCTAAGCAGAATATTCAGTTTCATTGGGCTATGTATATATATTTTTTTATAAATATATATTACAATATATATGTTTACGGTGATAATTGGGCTACAGGTCATAGTTTTTTTTAAATCAAGAGCAACATTTTTTATCTAGTGTATGCTAAATTAAAATATTTATGATATTTTGCATTCTAAATATTGCGATGTGGCAAAAGATACAAAAATATTCTTAAAAATTATATTTAATGCATATGTTGAAATGTCCAAAGAATTTAGCCGAAAAATCTAAAGACTACAATTTAATCCCATCTTTTTCCAGTTACGCTCGACTATCCGGAATTTTCAAATATCCCGCAATCGGCAATTTCGAGCATTCCATGCCGATTAGTTAAGCTTTTACTGTTTAATGGATGACTGAATGAGGCAATTACAGAAATATCTCCTTTTTTTTAACTTAAAGTACTTTGCAATAAGAAAAAACTGTCTTATAATGGAAATTTAGAAAATGTTCAAAATTTTGATTTAAGTTAAATTATTTAAATATTAATACGAGTAGAAAGATAAATAAATGTACAATAAATTCTATTTATTTCTAGGTGCCAAGCATAAAAAATTTCTGAAAGCGAAAAATACAGCTATTGGTGGAATAACAAGCTTTTTCCCCAAATCAAATCCTGCTAGTGTTGCACCCTCCAGTTCCCCAAGTGCTCCGCAAAATTCAAATAATTTAGATGATGCTGTAGGAGCTTCAAAAGATGTTTTGGATGCTGAAATTTTGTAGTGTTTGAAAGTGGTGACAAGTCATTACTCTTACAGATCTAACAGTGACATGGGCAAACTTTTTTCAGTTATATTCCCTGACAGTGTTATAGCAAAACACTTTTCTTGCAGTGAGAGAAAGCTTGCTTATCTCTGTCATTTTGGATTAACACCTTATTTTCAGAGGCTCGTGTATGACGAAGCTATCCCATTTCACATTGTTATTTGACGAGACTTTGAATAAAACAAATTAAAAAAAAAAAGCAATTGCATTTGCACATCACATTTTGGCATCTTGACCAAAATAAAGTTGTAACTCGATTTTTGACCCCTGTTTTCATGGGACATGCAACAGCTGCTAATATTTTCAAAAGTTTTCAAATGGCAGTTAAAAAATTAGATATAAAGAAGCTGCTACAAATAAGTATGGAGGGCCAGTCATAAATTGGAAGTTTTATGAAACCTCCAACATGAATTGCAAAAGGAATATGCCATTGAATGTATATCTATTGCTAGTTGTGATTTGCATATTTTGAACAATGCTTTCCGTAAAGGAGCATCCATTATAAGCTGGGATATATACCTTCTATTCTAGGAGCACTGTACCATCTATTCAAGGATTCTTCAGCACATCGAGAAGATTTTTTAACAGTTTTTTAATGGCATAAGACTGCCATTGAAATTTTGTAAAAATAGATGGCTGGAGAATGTACCAGAATGTTTGCGTGCTTTTGAAATTTGGGAAGATATAAAAGGTTATGTCAAGCTAGTTGAGAATGGAATATATGCAAAGATAACTTGTAAATCATATGAAATAGTAAGAGATGCAACTAAAGACAAAATAATGCCTGTAAAACTTCTTTTTTTCATTTGTGTGGCTGAATTGGTCAAACCCTTTTTGGAACTTTACCAAAGTGATGAACCACTTGTTCCTTTTTTACTTCCTTGTACGAAGTAAAAAGGAAGTATTGTAATCGCGAAAATTTTCAGGCAGCATATTTCAACAAAAATATCCATTTTGACCGTTATCGAATGCAATTTACAATGTTTTTTTTGCGTGATATCTGTACGTAAGGACAGAAAAAATACTCTTTTCCTTCAAAAAAATTATAAAACTGCTTTAAAATTAATTCTGAAAAAATTTTTCGTGGCATCCTGTACGAACGTACGTACGTACGTACGTTATCGCATAACTCAAAACGAGTAGCCTCAGACGTTTGAAATTTTTATATAGGACTGCTATAACATGTAGATGTGCACCTCGTATTTTCGTTGCAATCGGCCGACCAAACGTATATAAATATATATATATTCACTCTTTACCCGTTTACAACAAAGATAACACCTTCATTTATTATTTAAATTATGCTTATCCTTTATGGAATTTTTCGAGGAAATAAGCGTTTAGATTTACTTCGTATTTTTATGTAGATATTTTGAGTTTTTAGTATTTTTGCCTTCTGCGAAGGGAGAACTGAATTAATTAATGAAATACTCAATCGTCTGTGAAAAACTGTTTCTTTTTTGTTTTGTTTGCTTAATTTCTTTTATACATCATTCTAGCTTATTATAGTTTTGAATAGAACATGTGGCAACGATTAGATAATTCTATTCTTTAAATGATATAAATTTTGTGCATTATGATTATAATATGAACGAAGTATATAAGTTAATTGTTATATGATTATTTGGATTATATAACAGTTAACTTAGTTTCCGTTATAAAATTATTATGTAAGTTAACTGTTATATATTTATTAATACTGTTAAGTGAATCTAGCGCCAGAGTGTCGCTATGGTAAACAAATACTAGAGTGAAATTAAAAGAATGCATTTATTCTATTGTGGTTTATGCGCTGTCGGCGAAGTAGATTTAATTCAATCCAATAAGTTTAAATGAAATGCGTATAATTTAATATTCCAATACAAGGAGGTCGTGGTGTACACATCAGATGTTTTGCTTTTGATTTGCACAAATTAGTAAAGCAACTTTTGCAGCGTTTCAAAATTATAAAAGAAGAGTATATGTTAAAAAATCAGTTCATCATTAAAATATTTGTGTAACTCTCATTTTTCTGAGAAAGGTGTTAATGAAATAAGCAAAATTAGTTTAGGATTTAGGGCTCATAAGCTCTTGCAAGAACTACATGCTAAAATAGAAATCATGGATAGAGATTACCTTTTATTTTACTCACAAACTTTTATTTTACAACTACTTCAAAAGCTGATGGAGAAATGTCCGGTTAATTATTCACTGATTTAAAATGCTGTTTCTATGAATACGAAGTATACGGCGCAAAACAGCACAAAAGCGTATGAGAAAATAAAAAGTATATTGATGCATTTTTCTGAAAAAGGTTGTATTGCAGAAGAAGAACGTGATAACGTTCTTTTGGAATATTCCGGTTTCATTGAAAATGTAGTCCAGACATACCTTACAAAATTTAAATGATGTGAGAAAAATGAAATTAGGTACTTTTTTGCACACATTCATTTAATGGAAAACACTTCAAGTTATGGGAAACATTTAAAATTATATTTATTTTTTCCCATAGGCAAGCCTCTGTTGTACGAGGATTTAGTATCAATAAAAATATAGGAAAAGAAAATCGGGGGGGGGGGAATTCGTATATTGCCCAGCGCGCATAGTTTGTGATTATGTGAAACATGCTGGTGGGATACACAATGTGTCAATTACGAAAGAGATAAGAGCGGCAGATTCATCAGCTCATTCACAATATCGGTTATATTTGGAAGAGCAGAAGAGGGGAAAAAATGATTGAAAAGAAAAAAAGAAAAGCAGCAGAATCAGCAGATGAATTGATTTCTCTTAAAAGAAAGAAAACTCTCTTAGAAAAGGAAGTTAAAAGTGCTTGAAAAAAGCAAATGACTGCTGAAAAGGCTGAAGTTACAAAGACTTTAATCTTTAATTATTAAAACTATTTGTGAAAAGAACTCTCTTAAGAGATTGGATTCAGATATTAATGAAAAAAAATCAAATAAAAGTAATATTACTAATTAATAAGCAAAATCATTAATTAGTAGCATAAATCTTTTTTATTGTTTCTTTTATATGTGTAAAGTACTTTGTATGAATATATATACAGTTTATTATTATTAATTTTCTTAAAATGATATTTCATCGTTAAATTTTGTAATATTGTTTAGTTTTGCATAGGATCTCCCCCCCCCCTCATTGTAAACTAGTCCTATAAATTGAACTGTTATTTGCAATTAAAATTAATTGTAATTGTTTCCCATGGTTGAGTAATGTTGATTCTCTCTTTAAATACTGAATTTCTCAGATTTTGAATTATGGTTAAATCTCATTTTTATTTTAAGATTATGCAGTTGTGTATACATGAAATTAAGCAGGTTTTTTTTTTTTTTTTTTTTTAGCTAAAATGTGGCTATGAACCCTGAGTTAAGTCTTCCTAATAATGAATTATTTCATTCTTTAGAATGAAGTAATTAATTGCTTTATTATTAATATGTTTCTTTCTATAGTAATTAAATGTTTACAAGCATTTTAAAGCATATATTATTTTTCTTTCTTTTATAAATAAAGAAAGCATCGTAAAATGTCAATATTTCTTTTGTATGTTTTGTAGAAGGTGACCTGGGATCAAGTGAAGAAAGTGGAAAAGATTGGTCTGAGCTAGAAGAGGAAGCTGCAAAAGGTAGTTTTTTCACCTAATTGCTAATAAATAAACTTATTTAAAAAAAAAAAAAATTTAGTGCCGATACTTACTGCATTGTGTTACTTATTGTACTGTTTTCTTTTTCCAGCATTATCTAAATGTATTAACATTTAAATAATCTTTGGTATATTGGTTTTGATAAAAATATATCTCTAATCTTATACTGATTTCATTAGGGCATATAATCGAATTGTAATAAAAGTAATAAATTTAAGTTCAATTTTTATTATTATTATTAAATGTCTTGTTTTGTTTTCTAAAGTCATGGAACACTATGATCCTAGTGATTATTTGTAGTAATTTATAACTGTTTTTATTAGTTCTAACGATATTGTATATTAGCCCAAGGGGGAGGTACCCCAGAAGCGCTATTATTTTTTAAATAACATTTTGCGTTGTTTCTCTTTTCCAATTGTTGTCAACAAATATTATTGCCCTGTATTATTTTTAAAGAAATTAAGCAATGAAGAGTATGCAGGAATGTATGTATGTGTCTCGCATTGTGAAAAATTATGGTACCTAGAACAATCAAATTTTGAATAATGTAATCCTCTACCAAAGCATGGGTGCCTGAATGCCCGAATTTTGGATTTGTTTTATTATCTATTTCATATTTGCTAAAACTTTAACGAAGTTGTACATGAAAAACATTTTTATCTCCAGCACGCAAGACTGTGTCGGAAATTCTTAAGATATACTCATTTTTAAAAAATTATTTTGCGATATTGCTCTTGAACTGAATTTTATGATTAAATGGCAAAGAACATGATATTTAATAAATAAAGGTAATGTTTAAAATATTTTTAAAATGCCCTTTGGACGTAATTTAAAATCTGAAGCCTTTTAGATTGTGTGTATACATATTACATATACAGTCAAAAGTCGTTAATTCGGACACCCATAATCCGGAATGATCTGTAATCCGGACCTCAAAGCTACAAACTTTCTGCACATGCATTGCGTTAACGCATGCACGTAAGACTTTTACGGCTGCGAATTCGAGTGTGCGCATGCACAAAATACGTTTACGAATGCACGTTTAATGTATAACAGACGGGATAAGCTAAGCTAAAATTATCTAATTATCTATTTCGGTTAATGTTGCAGATTGTGTTGTTCCTTAATCTTCGAATTGGATCCGGATTATTATTTTTTGCAGACTGTTAGAGCAATTTTATAAAGTAAGCTTGAACTTTCGATTATGTCAAATAGAATTTCCGATATATATTTACTAATATGTAAAGGATCTACAAAGCGAAAGTATCTTTCGAGTCCATTAAACAAAAAGTAGAATTGCTGCAAAAAATGGATAAAGGCATATCCTTTGGTTTATGTAAAACTTTAACGTTTGTTTATCTAAACATTGTTTATCTTTAACACCGGGGGCACATGCAATGAATTGGAAGTTGATCCAGCACTATCCTTATCTTAAGAGCAGATGTTTTTATTTTATTTGGCTTATAATTTCTTACTCAAATGTAGTATTTCATCTCGATGTGTCTTTGATATGATTTAAATCAAATCCTCCTCATTATTATAATTCGCTTCGATAGCGAAGAAAGTGATAGAGGTTATTGAAAACGAAAAATTTCGATTGACAAATTAGTCGGTATTCTTGACACGCAATTATAGGACTTGAACAGCGGAACTTTGTAACTGAAACACGAAATTATGTCTGTTTATAGAATTAAAGAGAATGTATTATCACATAAAAAACGAAGCAACTTAAACAACTTACATTGAAAGAAATGTTTAATAAAGTAAACAAATAAATATTAAGCTTTTTTTTTTTTTTTTTTTTTTTTTTTTTTTTTTTGTAAATTTTGATACCCTTTAGATCATAATTGTTCTTTATTTCGTAAAATACGGTTTCATATTTTTAATTTTATAATTTCTGCATGCCATTTTACCAGATTTAAACTGATGATCTATAATCCGGAATCGCCGAAGTCTCGACGAGTCCGGATTAACGACTTTTGACTGTATATACTTTTTCTTTTCACACAGTGTACATTTGAGTCAGGTGGTTTTACAAACTGCTTCAATGTTGCACTTAACGTAACTACAGTGGTAGCCAAAATTGTGGACACTTTTGGAAATTTTTGTTTTTGAACTTTGTATGCTTATAGAAAATGTTCCGTTTCGCAAAAAGCAAACTTGTATATATCATTTTAAAGAGAATTTATTACTGAATTCAATACAAAACACAAAATTCATATTTGCGATGCAAAAAAAGTTATATGTACTTTAATATAAATAAAAAACACATTGTGAATTGGTTTGTAATGTCTACTTTCCTGGCCAATCAAGGTCTTTTCGAGAACCAATCAAATGTTTGTACTGCCAGTTAAGCTGACATCATGTTTACACTGCAACATTCATTATTTTGCTTTGTTCTGTAGAAGGAGGACCTGTCTCTTATACACGCAATTACAAGTAGGAATTTTATAAAAATTTTTAATATTTATCAAGAAGCAATGCCATCAAATAAAGAGTAGATTGTACACCTAGAGAGATTTATATTATTGTATTATGAGAAGGTGGTTTTCCTATGCTAATTGCAAGACAGGTGGGTGTTCGTGACTACATCTGGAGTCCGAAAGTTTGTTTACGATATCAGGAACAAATTCAATATAAAAAACATAGAAAAAAAGGCCGAAAAAGTGCACCACATTATTATAACAGAAGAAAAAAAAACTATGTCTCCCAATATATAGAAAAATGTCATCAGCGGCCATCAGAAGTGATCTGAATGATGCTGGTGTTTCTGTCATTTCATGAACAATCCTTGAAGATTACAGATGTTGGACTGAGAGGTTGAATCCACAAAAAAGCCTTAGCTTAATTTTCAGCAACGAAAAAAAAAAGACTACAGTAGCAAAGGACATTAATGGGATGATCAGTGGTCACAAGTTATATGGAGTGTTAACTAGATAATCGTTATCTGTAGGATGGGTGAAAATATGTAAGACGTAGAATAAGAGAAGAGCTACATCCTGACTGCATTCGAGCAACTTTGAAGAAACCAGTTAGTGTTATAATTTGGTCATGCGTGTTAGCAGATGGTATTGTTCGCCTTCATGTCATCGATGGAACACTGACTGCCAGAAAATACATTGACACTATTCTAGAACTAAAAGTGCTACCTTCCATCAGAGATCTCTTTCACAACAATGCTTCGTTTATTTTTCAGCAGGATTCTCCTCCTTGCCACACGGCCAAAATATCGAAAGAGTGGTTTCATACAAGAGCATTAAATTTTGTCATGGCCGAACAGTCCTGATCTTAATCCTATCGAAAAATTTGTGGCACCATTTTGAAACTCTTGTCCGAATGAGGCGCCCATCAAATAAAAGGGAACTAATTGAGGCTATAATTGTTTCCTGGCATCATGTAATAACAAAAGAAGAGTTTAAAACTCTTGTCAGCTCAATGAAACGTGGATGTGAAGCTGTAATCAAAAATAAATGGTGCCCTACTAAGTACTGATAACTCACTGCAATCATCACTATCTAATGTATATCGATAACTATTATCGTTTAACTTTTTTGTATTACAAATAATTAAATTTTGTGTTTTGTATTGACTTCAGTAATAAATTCTCTAAAATGATATATACAAGTTTGCATTTTGTGAAACGTAACGTTTTCTTTAAGCATACAAAGTGCAAAAACATAAAAATTTCCCAAAGTGTCCACAATTTTGGCCACCACTGTATAGATTTGCATATATGCAGTTGTCATCTGTATTTAGTTAGAATATTTATTGCCAATTTTATGATTCCAGTTAAAAGAATAAAGAATTGCAGATTTGGCTGTTGAAAATTAATTGCTTTGTAAAGCTGCTCATGAAGTATTGATTACTTTGCAGAGTTGCCAACTCTCCCGATTTTCGACCGCTCTCCCACCATCCCGATTTACAATATATTTCTCCCGACTTTTTCTTATTCTTAAAATTTTTCACGATTTTTATGGAACATGGCTTAATCTTTTTATATGAAAAAAAAAAGTGATTTTGGACGTCTAAAACCAATTGAATTTTCTCTAGATTATATCTAAAAGAAAACCTTGCGAATTAGATAATTTCTGCGTTGTGAGTGAGAGCATATACGTATCCAGAAACGTCGTTCTCCAGTTCTCCAATGGGCATCGTGCTCTACTGCGTGTCACCTGGTGTATATTAACCAATGAGGACAAAACAAGCTGTTCTTTGAATGTTCTTTAGTTATTTCGGTCATTTTGTCCTGAGTTGTGTGAGTACACGTGCCTTCGTGTACGTTTCAAAAATCGTACACACTTGACTTTCCTTCCATTATTTCCTCAAGGGAATATAATAAATTTGCGAAATCGAAAAACCGCCTGTCGTTGCGATTTTTCGATTTCGCATGGTGGAAGGTGGAGTTCTTAAACATGTGCGTACACAGAAACACAAGGACAACATGAGTTTTTGAAAAACGAAAAATTAAATTTTTCTTCTGCAAACAATGACCAAAAAGTTATTAATGCAGAATGTCTGTTCTCTGTCTTTTTACTGGAGCACAACCTGCCATTGATGCATCGATCACACTGCAGCTTTTTAGAAAAATGTGTCCCGATAGTGAAATCGCTAAGAATACTTAGTGTAAGAACCAAAAGGTGCAATTGTTAAAGAAATGGATTTGAAAAATAATCTTCAGTTATTGATCGCATTAAAACAGCTCCGTTCTGCCTCTCTACGGATGAAGCATAATACCGATTCAAAACTGTATCCAATTGTTTTTCTTTTTTTTAATCCCGACTCTTCAGAATTGAGTCAATTTACTTTCTGTCCCCACTTTAGAAGGATATTTGACAGGCTTTAATATAGCAGCTAATTATTAAAACTAAAAGAAAATGTAGTCCCTCTGGATAATTGCTTAGCACTTGGTGCCGTAATGCACCAGTATTGGTAGGCTTGGAAGACTGGTGTTGCAGGCATCTTAAGAATGAAAATTCAGATTTTCAGATATGAGGTGCACCTGTCACCTCCACCTC